TAAAGCTGTCAACTGCGTTATTTCGGCGCCTACTTTGATTTTTTCTCGATATTTTTCTTATACATCCATATGATTTAATATGTTCATCGAATAGAGGGACGTATCCTCTATCAAAAAAAATATATGCATCCCATTAAAAATAACAATGTTGGTTGCCATAGCAACGAAACAAAAAACAATACAAACAAGCAAATATTGCCAAAAAATGCGCCATGATTAATAAAGAAACTTGCATTTGAAACATTTTTCTTTAAAACTACAAATGGCGAAGTTATTGTGTATGTTCCAGACTTTTGACACACCCTGTATATATACAGGGTGAGTTTTATTATAAACATTTCGGGAAAATTTTATTAGAAAGATCGCTAGATACAATACGCAATAAAAACTATATCATTCCATTTAAAATAACATATGTTTATTTCGGTGCGTCGTTATGGAACACCCTGTAAGTATAAAAATATTTTCCGTTTATAGTGTGATAAATTTCCTACAACTTTTGTTTAAGAAAGAACTGAGTATCTCGGCTCCTTAATACCATTCATGTACAGGGTGTCCAAATTTCGATGGGTTTGTAGGGTATCTCAGTTATTATAAAAGATAGAACGTTGCGGCTTTCGCGAACCTGAGCTACTTTTTTGTGAAACTTACAATGGCGCAAACCAAATTTTCATAGCCCTCTTCATTTTTGATATACAGGGAGTGCTTGAAATTTACGATTATTAGACACTTTCTGTATCTCGGCTATCCGGAAACTCAGTAAAAAAGTAAAAACGGGTTCTAATAGATTTTTTTACGTAGAATCCAATGGTGCACGTAGAATTTTTTTAGTCATCACGGTTTTTCAGTTATAAAGAGTTAAATATTTTAGAAGTTGAGTATTCAGTATTTGAGTTGTGTTTATAACTCAAAAACCGGGATGACTAGAAAAATTCTATGTGCACCATTGGATTCTACGTGAAACAATCTATTAGAACCCGTTCTTACTTTTTTACTAAGTTTGCGGATAGCCGATATACAGGAGGTGTCTAAAAATCGTAAATTTCAAACACTAAGTTTCACAAAAAAGTAGCTCAGGTTCGCGGAAGCCGCACCTTTCTATCTTTCATAATAACTGAGATACCCTGCAAACCCATCGAAATTTGGACACCTGTACATACTTTGTCGCTTACGTGGGACACCTGTATATATGTTATTTTCGTTTTAATTTTATTAATAACGGTATTCCCCAGTGCTTATTATTTGAAATTAAGATGATTCTTAGTGATTTAAGGAAACCCCATAAATGTTACTAACAAAACCAAGTTTTATTTTCTATGATTATGTCGAACGCAAATTAGAATAAGGAGTTAAAACCGCAATCTGGGAAGTTTTATTAATACACAACGACATTTTACGATTTAAAATCTTTATCAATTATTCCTTTCAATGCGGTTTGGGTATTTTATTATTGATAAAAAAATTACTTCCTCTACCCACTCATCATACTCATATAAATTAAAAAAATAAATAATTTAATTTCAATTAGGTTCCAACTTTGAAATTGAAACTATATTCCTATATATAAGTATATTATTTTTTGATTTTGATTTTACCTGGAACGTGTTTAAGTGGAGTGTTTCCCAAAACCAAGACATAAAGTTCTCTTCCTTCAACCGATTTTCCAATTGATTTCAAATCGGTTATATTGGGGTAAGTCTCGTTGTACTCTATCAAAAATTTTTCCATTTCTGTGTAATCGTGGTGTCGAAATTCGTTTTTATCGCGCAAAACGAATCCAAACTCGTCGAATTCCGGTGTTGTGATGTTTTCTTGTTCGGTGAATTTACCTGAAATACATAAAGTATTCAAATTAATTTATTAATTCTAACTTGTCAATACTAAAAATACTTGAAATAAATTTAGTTCTTGATTAACTTATGATTATCAGTTCGAAATTGAGAGATTTCACCCCGATCAATTTTTATAAATTTTTAAGTCATTATTAAATAATTTAAAAGTGGTTTTAACGTATTTGAACCATTTTGATAATCACCAATTAAAGTTTTGTATTTCCTATAGTATAAAAAACACTTTCAAAAAAGTCAAAAATTAGTATATTATTCAACAAGCGTATAATGGCGGCTGTTACCCACGAAGATGAAGTTGCAGTTATAATCTGAGTGGGTAACATCCATTATACGCAAGTTGAATACTATACTTTATCTACAACTATTTAATTTTGAAAAAAAAATCAAAAAAAAGGAAAAAAGATAAACTTGAAAGACATTTCAGACATAACCTCAATATAAGAAAGCTGTCATTTCTGTTAATATTTTATTTTTTTGATTAGTAGGCCGTGTCAGAATTGTGGAATAATGGCTTCATTATTCAACACTTTGCCAGTCATGAGTAATGAAACACAAATTTACATAATCACAAATTTACTTAAAATAAACGTAAAATTCTTTTACAAATCTTTAAAGATTTAACTCCGCATGGACATCTTTTGTGGTAGATGTTACAAGATGGTCTGAGACCATCTTCAGAAAATTTGTGACAATAATAATTTTAATTTGTTCACCGCTTTATATTTTCGATGTTAATTTCCTGTAAAATACATTGACTTTTCTCTCTGATGATGGCTTTTGCCGAAACTAGTTAGACAACAAAAATATAAATAAACCAGTAAAAGTACAACAAAATTCGAAAATTTTTTTATCACGTTAATCTAGAAGTGTTGTTACTCGATTCAGCCATTTTAACCTAGATCAAATAAAGTTTTCTATTTCCTATCGTATTCAAAACACTTTAAAATAAAGTCAAAATCATTTTTCTTTATTTTTTCATAATAATTAACTATCCTAAGGATGTTTTAAGTGTATTAGAACAATTTTTATTAACATCAATAAAATTTCCCACATAAGAAAATCTTTTAATTTTCTGCAAATCATCCCCATTAATTTTTCTTACTTCTTAAGTCTTTATTAAGTAATTTAGAAGTGATTTTAATTGATTCGAGCCATTTTGACCTACATCAAATAAAGTTTTCTATTTCCTATCGTATTCAAAACACTTTAAAATAAAGTCAAAATCATTTTTCATAATATTTTCGTCATCCTTAACTATCCTAAGGATGTTTTGAATTGATTAGAGCAATTTTCATCAACACCAATCACCTTTTCCCATATTCAAAATTTTTTTAATTTTATGCAAATTTTAAATAATAATAAAAAATGTTATCCCTATTAACTTTTCTAACCCTTTGTCTTTATTAAGTAATCTAAAATTGTTTTTAATTGATTGTAGCCATTTTGATCCACACCAATTAAAGTTTTCTGTTTCCCCATCATCTATCAAACACTTTAAAAAAGTGTCAAAAACATTTTTCTTAATATTTTCGTCATCGTTAAGTATCCTAAGGATGTTTTAAATTGATTAGAAGAATTTACATCAACACCAATGACCTTTTCCCATATTCCAAAATTTTTTAATTTTATGCAAATCATCCCTATTCACTTTTCTAACCCTTTATATCTTTATTAAGTAATCTAATACTGTTTTTAATTGATTTAAGCCATTTTGACCCACTCCAATTAAAGTTTTCTGTTTCCCATCATCTTTCAAACACATTAAAAAAATGTCAAAATTATTTTTCTTAATATTTTCGTCATCGTTAAGTATCCTAAGGATGTTTTGAATTGATTAGAACAATTTTCATCAACACCAATNAGTAATGAAACACAAATTTACATAATCACAAATTTACTTAAAATAAACGTAAAATTCTTTTACAAATCTTTAAAGATTTAACTCCGCATGGACATCTTTTGTGGTAGATGTTACAAGATTTCAATTTGTTCACCGCTTTATATTTTCGATGTTAATTTCCTGTAAAGTACATTGACTTTTGTCTCTGATGATGGCTTTTGCCGAAACTAGTTAGACAACAAAAATATAAATAAACCAGTAAAAGTACAACAAAATTCGAAAATTTTTCTATCACGTTAATTAACTATCCTGAGGATGTTTTAAGTGTATTAGAACAATTTTTATTAACATCAATAAAATTTCCCACATAAGAAAATCTTTTAATTTTCTGCAAATCATCCCCATTAATTTTTCTTACTTCTTAAGTCTTTATTAAGTAATTTAGAAGTGATTTTAATTGATTCGAGCCATTTTGACCTACATCAAATAAAGTTTTCTATTTCCTATCGTATTCAAAACACTTTAAAATAAAGTCAAAATCATTTTTCATAATATTTTCGTCATCCTTAACTATCCTAAGGATGTTTTGAATTGATTAGAGCAATTTTCATCAACACCAATCACCTTTTCCCATATTCAAAATTTTTTTAATTTTATGCAAATTTTAAATAATAATAAAAAATGTTATCCCTATTAACTTTTCTAACCCTTTATGTCTTTATTAAGTAATCTAAAATTGTTTTTAATTGATTGTAGCCATTTTGATCCACACCAATTAAAGTTTTCTGTTTCCCCATCATCTATCAAACACTTTAAAAAAGTGTCAAAAACATTTTTCTTAATATTTTCGTCATCGTTAAGTATCCTAAGGATGTTTTAAATTGATTAGAAGAATTTACATCAACACCAATGACCTTTTCCCATATTCCAAAATTTTTTAATTTTATGCAAATCATCCCTATTCACTTTTCTAACCCTTTATATCTTTATTAAGTAATCTAATACTGTTTTTAATTGATTTAAGCCATTTTGACCCACTCCAATTAAAGTTTTCTGTTTCCCATCATCTTTCAAACACATTAAAAAAATGTCAAAATTATTTTTCTTAATATTTTCGTCATCGTTAAGTATCCTAAGGATGTTTTGAATTGATTAGAACAATTTTCATCAACACCAATGACCTTTTGCTATATTCCAAAATGTTTTAATTTTATGCAAATCATCTCTATTAATTTTTCTAACCTCTTATGTCTCTATTAAGTAATCTAAAACAATTCTTAATTGATTTGAGCCATTTTGACCCACTCCAATTAAAGTTTTCTGTTTCCTATCATCTTCCAAACACATTAAAAAAATGTCAAAATTATCCCTATTAACTTTTCTAACCCCTTATGTCTTTATTAAGTAATCTAAAACTGTTTTTAACTGATTTGAGCCATTTTGACCCACATCAATTAAAGTTTTCTGTTTCTTATCATCTTCCAAACACATTAAAAAAATGTCAAAATCATTTTTTTTAACATTTTCATCATCGTTTACTATCCTAAGGACGTTTTGAATTGATTAGAACAAATTTCATCAACGCCAATGTCCTTTTCCCATATTTCAAAATGTTTTAGTTTTATACAAATCATCCCTGTTAACTTTTCTAACTCATTATATCTTTAATAAGTAAGCTAAAACTATTTTTAATTGAATAGAGCCATTTTGATCCACACCAATTAAAGTTTTTTGTTTCCCATCATCTTCCAAACACTTTAAAAAAATGTCAAAATCATTTTTCTTAATATTTTCGTCATCGTTAAGTATCCTAAGGATGTTTTGACTTGATTAGAACAATTTTCATCAACACTAATGATCTTTTCTCATATTCCAAAATTTTTCAATTCTATGCAAATCATCCCTATTAACTTTTCTAACCTCTTATCTCTTTATTAAGTAATCTAAAACTGTTTTTAATTGATTTGAGCCATTTTGACCCACTCCAATTAAAGTTTTCTGTTTCCTATCATCTTCCAAACACAATAAAAAAATGTCAAAATTATCCATATTAACTTTTCCAACTCCTTATGTCTTTATTAGGTAATCCAAATCAGTTTTTAATTGATTTGAGCCATTTTGACCCACACCAATTGAAGTTTTCTGTTTCCTACCATCTTTCAAACACATTAAAAAACTGTCAAAATCATTTTTCTTAATATTTTCGTTATCTTTAAGTATCCTAAGGATGTTTTGAATTGATTAGAACAATTTTCATCAACACCAATGACCTTTTCTCATATTTCAAAATTCTTTAATTTTATGCAAATCATTCCTATTAACTTTTCTAACCTCTATGTCTTTATTAAGTAATATAAAAGTGTTTTTAATCGATTTCAGCCATTTTGGCACAAAACAATCAACTTTTTCTATTTTCTACCGTCTTCAAAACACTTTCACAAAAATTATAACCATTTTTGTTAATTTTTCATCCCCATTAAGTGTCTTAAAGATGTTTTGAATCGATTAAAACAATTTTTATCAACATTAATAAGGTACTCCAACATTTTTTAATTTTATGCAAATCATCCCTATTCACTTTTCTAACCTCTTATGTCTTTATTAAGTGATCTAAAACTGTTTGAGCCATTTTGACCCACTCCAATTAAAATTTTCTATTTCCTATCATCTTCCAAAAACTTTGAAAAAATGTCAAAATCATTTTTCTTAACATTTTCGTCATCGTTAAATATCCTAAGGCAGTTTTGACTTGATTAAAACAATTTTTATCAACACCAATGACCTTTTCCCATATTACAAATTTTTTTAATTTTATGCAAATCATCCCTATTAACTCTTCTAACCCCTTATGTCTTTATTAAATAATCTAAAACTGTTTTTAATTGATTTGAGCCATTTTGAATCACTCCAATTAAAGTTTTCTGTTTACTATCATCTTCCAAACACATTAAAAAAATGTCAAAATTATCCATATTAACTTTTCTAACCCCTTATGTCTTTATTAGGTAATCCAAACCAGTTTTTAATTGATTTTAGCCATTTTGACCCACACCAATTGAAGTTTTCTGTTTCCTATCATCTTCCAAACACATTAAAAAAATGTCAAAATCATTTTTCTTAATATTTTCGACATCGTTAAGTATCCTAAGGATGTTTTGAATTGATTAGAACAATTTTCATCAACACCAATGGCCTTTTCCTATATTCCAAAATGTTTTAATTTTATGTAAATCATCTCTATTCATTTTGCTAACCTCTTATGTCTCTATTAAGTAATCTAAAACAATTCTTAATTGATTTGAGCCATTTTGACCCACACCAGTTGAAGTTTTCTGTTTCCCATCATCTTTGAAACACATTAAAAAACTGTCAAAATCATTTTTCTTAATATTTTCGACATCGTTAAGTATCCTTAGAATGTTTCGAATTGATTAGAACAATTTTCATCAACACCAATGACCTTTTCCTATATTCCAAAATGTTTTAATTTTATGCAAATCATCTCTATTAATTTTTCTAACCTCTTATGTCTTTATTAAGTAATCTAAAACTGTTTTTAATTGATTTGAGCCATTTTGACCCACACCAGTTAAAGTTTTCTTTTTCCCATCATCTTTGAAACACATTAAAAAACTGTCAAAATCATTTTTCTTAATATTTTCGTCATCGTTAAGTATCCTAAGGATGTTTTGAATTGATTAGAACAATTTTCATCAACACCAATGACCTTATCTCATATTCCAAATTTTTTAATTTTATGCAAATCATCCCTATTAACTTTTCTAACCCCTTATGTCTCTATTAAGTAATCTAAAACAATTCTTAATTGATTTGAGCCATTTTGAGCCACACCAATTGAAGTTTTCTGTTTCCTACCATCTTCCAAACACATTCAAAAATGTCAAAATCATTTTTCTTAATATTTTCGTCATCGTTAAGTATCCTAAAGATGTTTCGAATTGATTAGAACAATTTTCATCAACACCAATGACCTTTTCCTATATTCCAAAATGTTTTAATTTTATGTAAATCATCTCTATTAATTTTTCTAACCTCTTATGTCTCTATTAAGTAATCTAAAACAATTCTTAATTGATTTGAGCCATTTTGACCCACACCAGTTAAAGTTTTCTGTTTTCCATCATCTTTTAAACACATTAAAAAAATGTCAAAATCATTTTTCTTAATATTTTCGTCATCGTTAAGTATCCTAAGGATGTTTTGAATTGATTAGAACAATTTTCATCAACACCAATGACCTTTTCCTATATTCCAAAATGTTTTAATTTTATGCAAATCATTTCTATTAATTTTTCTAACCTCTTATGTCTCTATTAAGTAATCTAAAACAATTCTTAATTGATTTGAGCCATTTTGACCCACACCAGTTAAAGTTTTCTGTTTCCCATCATCTTTTAAACACATTAAAAAAATGTCAAAATCATTTTTCTTAATATTTTCGTCATCGTTAAGTATCCTAATGATGTTTCGAATTGATTAGAACAGTTTTCATCAACACCAATGACCTTTTCCTATATTCCAAAATGTTTTAATTTTATGCAAATCATCTCTATTAATTTTTCTAGCCTCTTATGTTTTTATTAAGTAATCTAATACTGTTTTTAATTGATTTGAGCCATTTTGACCCACACTAATTGAAGTTTTCTGTTTCTTATCATCTTTTAAACACATTAAAAAACTGTCAAAATCATTTTTCTTAATATTTTCGTCATCGTTAAGTATCCTAAGGATGTTTTGAATTGATTAGAACAATTTTCATCAACACCAATGAGCTTTTCCCATATTCCAAATTTTAATTTGGAATATATTTGGAAATAATTTTAATTTTAATTAATTTAAAACTGATTTTAATTGATTTGAGCCATTTTGACCGACACCAAATCACGTTTTCTATCTTTTTTGATAACTTTTAATCGTTAACATTTGGAAGGAAGGGTTATTTATTATTTTTTGTCTTAATTAACTTAATAAAATACACCTTGTTTTGCATAACTTTTATTTTCTTACCCAAATTGAGCAATACATTCTTTTTGATCGCTTTCAAAATCACAAATCAATTAATTATAGATTAATTAGATTAAAAAGTAATAAAAAAATACATCATTCCAGATTAAAAATAATAAACAACCCTTTCTTTCTTAAAAGAAATTAAACACTCTTTAGCCCACAACCAAATAAGATCCCTGATTAAAACTTATTATTAATGAGATTATTAAAAAATGAGATTATTTATAATTAAGCCCAAGCCCAATTCTCCTCACCCACCCACACATTATCTTTATTACCTTGCATCCTTCCGCTTTTTTTCAACATAAAATCCTGTCTTGTTGTGGCCCCTTCAACAATGGTAACACGAATCTTCTCAGACACCCCATAACCATACCCAAAAGCATACATAACATAATTCCCTGGGACTAATAACCTCCAATATTCCCCTCGATTCGATGAAGTCACATTGTGCTTAATTCCTTCAACCACAACAACCGCTTCGGGAACCCCCCTTCCTTTCTCATCTTGAATTAAACCTTTAACTCCCCAATGAGTAGCCTCCATCAACAACAATAAAGGTTCTTTATTTAACTCCCACTCTTTCGGTAAGGTATTTGCCAAAGGAAATTTGCAACAACTCAATTCGAGGGTGATTTCAAAGCAATTCGAGTGGATGTAATTGTAATCTTGCATCCCACCATCGAGTTCATACCATTCGGCCCCGTTTGTAACCCCACCGGGGAAGTCTTCGGTGTCGCAAGATCGCCCTGTTTTCATGTAACGGTGATTTTGGGCGTACAAATAAGCTAATTTGGTGAAATAGGAGTGATCAGGGGATGGGTTGCTGTGCCCCGTTTTGTATTTTGAAGCTGAAACTCGCCTAAAATAAAACAAAAAGGTTAATTAATTTAAATTAACAAAGAAAAAATGATTTTTTTATAATTACCCTGAGTTATCAAAAGGAATACTAGCAACAACAGCCCCTCCATGTAAATTAGCTGATAACACAAAAGGGTTTGAGACAATCCAAGTCATCATTGCCAAAGTTTCAGGTTGCCGATTAATTAAGTTAGCCCCATATTTGTGGTATTGATCGGGAAAATCTCGGTTTAAATCCTTCCCTCTTGCATTATTCCTCCCAATATACCCCCTTTTTGACTCGCATGACCCCTCTAACGAATCCTCATACCCATCAGGATTCATAGAAGGCATCAAATAAATCTCTGTGTTATTAACCAACTTAGTAACTCTCTCATCTCTCCCATAATTATCCAATAAATATTGGGCCATAAATATAACCAACATCCTCCCCACAGTTTCATCACCGTGCATATTCGCCACCAATTTCATCATCGGGTTCAATAAAGGTCTTGATTCGACGTCTTTTCCGACCCTTAACACCCATAAATCGCGTTGTTTAACCGATTTGCCGACACTTTCTAGTTTCGCCAAGCTCGGATACTCGTTTTGGAGTATTTTAAAATACTGAGTTAACTCTTGGTAGTTTAAATACTTGGGGTTATTAAGGAAATCCTCTTTTTGTTGGGAACTTCTTCGAAAAACACTCTTTGAGTCGATTAAAACCGATGGTATCGCTAAAAAGGCGAAAATCACCGCCGGAAAAAACATATTGGAAGAAAATGATTATCTTGTTTGTTGCGTAGGAGTTAATTAAAACATTGTTTCTTGGAATTAATCGTTTTTTTTGCTTTCTTTATGGGTAATGACGTTTGGGACGAGATTGAGGTTAACGGGAAAAATTTTTTTTTGATGACGTTTGACGTATCATGTCGGTAAAGAAGGGAACAATAATAATTTGTTTTAAATTAATAAAATAATTAAATTATTTTTAATAAAATAAATCGTTTAATTAATTAATTTTGATTAGAAAAAAATAAAATTTCTTTTTTATTAATAATTAAATAAACTTAACAAATCAACTTAATAACGTTATTTCGTTGATAGATGGGGCTAAAATAAATAATTTAAAATTTAACATTTATAAACAAATTAATTAATTATTCTTATTGAAATATTTTCTATACACCCTAAATTACATACATTTGATTAATATATAACATAAAATTGTTTGTTTCCTTAATTGCATGACGTTTACCAAAAACAAATTCAAAAAAATCTTATCTTAAGAACGAATTGAGATATCATTACGAAATAAAGTACATTTTAAAGCAAATTTAATGCATAATAAATAATTTCTTATCTTCTATAAACATCGTTACATTGTTATGATTTTCTAAATCCAAGTTATCGATGAAACAGAAATTTAAAAAAGACGTGTCTCAAGAACGAATTGAGATATTAAGTTGAAATAAAAAAACATTTTAAAGCAAATTTAATGCATCATAAATAATTTCTTATCTACCATAAACATCGTTTTTCTAAATCCAACTCTGCATTTTTGATTGTTACCACTGAAACATAAATTTAAAAAAATCGTATCTCAAGAACGAATTGAGATATTAAGTTGAAATAAAAAACATTTTAAAGCAAATTTGATAAAGATTTAATGTGCCAAAAATAATTTCTTGATTCCTATAAATGTAGTTGTTATGATTTTTTAAATCCAATTCTGCATTTTTGATTGTTACCGCTGAAACATAAACTTAAAAAAATCGTATCTCAAGAACGAATTGAGATATTAAGTTGAAATAAAAAACATTTTAAAGCAAATTTGATAAAGATTTAATGTGCCAAAAATAATTTCTTAATTCCCATAAATGTAGTTGTTATGATTTTTTAAATCCAACTCTGCATCTTTGATTGTTACCGCTGAAACATAAACTTAAAAAAATCGTATCTCAAGAACGAATTGAGATATTAAGTTGAAATAAAAAACATTTTAAAGCAAATTTGATAAAGATTTAATGTGCCAAAAATAATTTCTTAATTCCCATAAATGTGGTTGTTATGATTTTTTAAATCCAACTCTGCATTTTTGATTGTTATCAATAAAACATAAATTTAAAAAATCGTATCTCAAGAACGAATTGAGTTATTATGTTGAAATAAAAAACATTTTAAAGTAAATTTGATGAAGATTGAATGTACCAAAAATAATTTCTTAATTCCTAGAAATGTGGTTGTTAAATTTTTTTAAATCCAACTCTGCATCTTTGAATATATTATCGATGAAACATAAATTTAAAAAAATCATATCTCAAGAACGAATTGAGATATTAAGTTATAATAAAAAAAAATTTAAACTCAAAATTTCATAAATTGATAATCATAATCGATTAAAATTGTTTGCTTTTCGGTTATTTGCTTTACTTTAAGTGCTACTCGAATATTTACAAAAATTCCGTGCTTGTTGCAGGTTTAACTCGTTTTTTTGAAGGATAAATTCACAAATTGGATTCGTGGAACACGATGGTGAGTTCTATTTTGCATTAAAACATTTAGTAGTACTTCAAATTTTATTTTTAGGTTCAAAGTATTTGTATTGCTTTCTTATTTGTTTTAATAAACTTTGCAAGCTGCAAAGTTTTCTTTTGCAATGAAGATCAAACGAAAATTATCGAGTTTGCAGCCGATTCCCCTTTTTGCAAAGTTCACACTGATAGGTAAGTAATTATTTAAATTAATTTGAACCCTTTCAATTAATTTAGTAATTTTAGAAATTATGTTAATGATATTTTGAGTGAAGATAAAGTGATGTTTGTTGATGATAATATCTTGGATAAAATGGAAGCTCCGTGCATTGAGAAGCAAGAATATGGATTTATATTCCCTGGGACTTTATGGTGTGGACAAGGTTTGCTTATTTAATCTTAAAAATTAATTTTATATCATTAAAATCATTTAAATAGGTACAAAAGCTCGATTTTTCAACGAATTAGGCGAACACAGAGAAGAAGATAAATGTTGTAGGGAACACGATAATTGCGCAAATTCGTTAAACGCCGGGGAATGTAGAGGAGACGTTTGTAATGATTCATCTTACACAAGGTAAATATAAATTAATAATTAACACAATAATTTTTATTTAATAATTTTTTTCTAGATCCCACTGCGATTGTGATTTAAGATTCCAAGAGTGTTTAAAAAGCACTCAAACGAGTGCTGGGAATGTAATTGGATCGATTTTCTTCAACATAGTTAAAGTTAGTTGTTTTACTGAGGATAATTGTGATAATAAATTGTAAGTTAATTCGAATTTTAAATGAATCTCAGTTAACTAATTCGATTTTTTAGGGGTGAATTAATTAATTTTGACGAACAAGGGAGGAAAACTTGCCCGATCAAGTTTGAATCGGCCCCTAAGTATCGGGTGGAGCGGCTTAGGACGTTAAATGGGAGGAAATTAAATTTTTTCGAACGATTTTTACGTAAAATAAGATTGTTATAAGTAAATGAATTAATAAAAAATATTTAACCGACCTTTCTTTTTATCGAAAAATGTTTCAAATAATGTTTGTTTAAATTAAAATTTGAGATCGATTATTTTAATAAAAAATTTTGATATCTCCACCTGGTGGCGCTATATACTGGTATACAGGGTGATTCACATAAGAACCGACACAGAGCACGGACATGTATAGGACAATAAATTAAGATGATTTAACGCAACTTATCTCTGTACCAAGTTGTACCTCTGAGGAGTTATAGGCTTTCAAAGTTGGGTCTTAAATTTTTAAAACATTGAATATCTTCGTAATACGTTAAGCTCGAAAAACCAAATTTGGTATACGTTATGAGTGTACCGAGGGTATTAATTGGTAGCAAGTTGAGACCAATTGAGACATTTCAAAGGGTTGATTACGGGTGATGGTTCCTTAAATTTTGGCAGATTTTTTTAACCTTTTGGCGGATTTAATACATTACTACTTCATTTCATGTGGAATTAATTCTAAAACTTTTTTTACTCTTACTATTTTTTAAAAAACAATGTTGTTTTCATAAAAAACTCAAAAAACTAAAGACGCGTATCTTGTTAATGCTACTTAAAATCATCGAAAATTCAGTAGTCGGCTGTGAAATTGTACGTAATTTGAGGAATAAACTGTTTATTATGAGCTAAAAAGACANTAATTATTAATTATATGATATTTTAAAAGAACTTAATAATTTTTAGCCATAACCCTTATAATTAACATAAACTAAGAAGAAAATATTTAAAGCAATTCTGATTGATCGCGTTAACCATTGCTTATAAATAATTGTTAGTTTATTTAAAAAAAAACTGAACAGTCCTTAATAATAAACTTTACTTCAACTGAAGACCTCGGTGCAAGAAGGGAGTAGCTCCATTTATCAAGACCCTTCTTACACCGAGGTGTTTGGCCTTAGGCCACGCGCTCTCGCGACTTTATTGTTGACCAACTTAAAAATCGCTCGATTAAAAAGTTGCCATTAGATTTCCGCTCAGCGCACTATCGACTAGATAGTTGCTGCAGTCTTAAATTTCAACATGGACGCTACTGATGTAGCATGTGTCTGTGCGTTGATTGTCAAAAGAAGAAAAAGGAAGAACAGACGTTTCTGGGTTCATCTCCTCATTAGTCAGCGACTGTTTAATGGTCAATTTTATAAACTGTTTGAAACATTGAAGGATCACCCCATGAAATTCTTCAGTTACTATAGAATGAGTTATACGAGTTTTAACATCTTACTGACTGCAGTTCAAGATCAAGTTTACCATAATAACATTGTTTCTTACAGATATTTGGCAACAGGCAACAGCTTCGCCTCTTTGCATTTTGAATATTTACTTGGCCAAACAACAATAAGAGAAATTGTGAGAGATACATGTATCGCTATTTGGGAATGTTTAGTGTCTATATATATGCCACCAAAAAATACTGATGATTGGTTACAAATAGCAAACAATTTTTACAAGCGAACAAATTTTCCTAACTGCATTGGAGCCATCGACGGCAAACATATTAGAATAAAAAAACCTGCTTCCAGTGGATCTGAATTCTTCAACTATAAGTGTTTCTTTTCAACTGTGTTGCTTGGAGTAGCAGATTCCGACTACTGTTTTACTTCAATAGAAGTTGGAGCCTATGGTTCTGCAAGTGATTCCAATATTTTCAAGAAATCAAAATTTGGCAGTTTACTTGAAAAAGGACAGTTAAATATACCAGGCCCAACACTGCTACCAAATGAGGAAACCGGAACTGTCATGCCGTTTATAATTTTAGGCGATGAAGCATTTGCTACTTCAGAACATATTCTACGTCCATATCCTAGCAAAAATTTGTCAGTTACGAAACGTGTCTTTAACTATAGGCGATCAAGAGCCCGTAGAATGGTGGAGTGCTCGTTTGGCATATTAGCTGGCAAATGGAGGATACTGAATAAGTCTTGAATTATCCGATATCATTATAAAAGCATGCTGCATTCTCCACAATTTTGTTAGGAAGCACGATGGAGTTTGTTTCGAAGATAGTTTGTACGAATGTCATTTAGATAACATGAATCCCGTTGGAACAAGAGGTACCGTTAGAGGTATTCACATTAAAGACTATTTTGCAAAATATTTCACCTCTCCTCAGGGAACTGTTCATTGGCAATATGACAAAATTTAAATAAAAATGCCAATACAATATACAGGCTGATTCAAAAGTATTTGGCTAAAATGAAACCCCATGTGGAATAACCAATTTTAAGTCGAAATGAAAGAAAGCAACTGGTAGCAACTGACCGAATAATCGCCAGTGCGCGCGTACAGGTTAAAACGTGTACGTTGCATTATTCCCGGCAACAGTTGAGTCGCCTTGAAAATAGGGCAAGATGTAATTTTTTAGTTGCCGTGATTAAATAGTTGCTAGTGCGCGCCGCTTCATATAACTCAGTGTATTTCATTTTGGTGATTTTTAAGTTGCCGCAACTAAATCGCTAGTGCGCGCCTGGCCTAATTGTTAATTCCAAGTCAAGTAACCAGAAACATTTATGGACTGTTGTAAATAATCGTCCAACGTACCAAATTATAAAAAACATATGTGAAACGAAAAAAATTCGAAAACTTTCAACAAAAATCAAAATTTAATAAAAATAACTATATGTTTATGAGAATTGTGAGGTTATAATTGTAGGTACAATAGAGACTTGAACCTACAGCTAAGTTCAGGTCGGTACATCCAACATGTCTGACTTTCTGATTACCCCCACCACCACCACATACGCTCTCTAGATTATATATAAGACCAAAATGCATATAACCTCCATTACTAACATAACCTACATAACCCATATTTAAATATATTTAGTCTGATGTTGTTATTGCTTGATATATCGACTGAATGCTATTTTATGACTATTTTATATACGCCTTTACCCCCAAAAATCTTATTGCTACCTTTAGAATTTACAAATAGACTTATTATCAGAGATGATTTTTTAGTTATCTATGCTACTATTCACCAAGAATATTGAATTCACGAAAAACATTAAACTATCAGATCTTTTACAATACTCGATAATACCACGAAATTAACAGTTAATAAGATTTATTCATTTCATCCCGTGTTTACCAATCTACGAAAAATATATGAATGTCAAAATCTTTTAGAGTTAAATTAAGCAAGATGGAAATGTGAAATATTCATCAAATAAAAGGAGAGTTTTCGTAATATATTGAGCAATACCACGAATTGCACAGCAGCAGATCAGCCCATGCTAGTCGAGATGTGTTGCAAAATACGACTACGTGAATATTGTCGTGTGTATAATGAAGCACCGCTATATAAGAATAACATCAATTGATGGGATAAGCAGTTGAAGACTTTCGACAGTTTGATAGGAAAATTTGTTTGATCTGCATTGAAATTGTGTAAAATTAGGAGAGCTTTCCTTTTATTTGGTGAAGATTTCACGTTTCCATCTTGCTTTGTTGCTTTTCTGTGACCAGTCAAAAGTGCACCATGACTTTACGGACATATTGTATTTTGTCGGCCTTTTGTCAAAAAATTAATTATAATGAATATTTTAGTTTTAAATCTCGTAAACTTTTAAAAAATATCTATTTTGCACCATTATCTTTTCTACATTCTCCTTTTATTATCTTTTTCCTTCCGATTACTAAACTCATTTTTGGTCTTGTTACAAAAAAAATCATCTTGTCTTATTCCTTTTATTTTTTTCTGCCTCTTGTTTCGCCTTTTTCCTTTTTAATTTTCGTTTTCTGATTTCTAAAAATACAACAAAATGACAATACATCAAACACTAATATTAACTTAAATAACTTACTTTCAGCTCTTGCAATCGCAGCTTTCCTCTTTAAACGTTCTTCCATTGCTATCCTATATTTCGCCTGACGTTTCTCTACTTTTATTTTATACAGTTCGTCCCAGAAAAGCCACACCGGACCGCGTCCGTGTTGAGCGTGTCTTCCGGGAGGCGGAGGAACGTAATCATCCGGAAATGGGATATAAGTCGCGTGAATTTCCGAGTAATGGATCTTTGTAGGGCCGGCATCCATTTTTGTGTACGTTTGGGAAATTGAATAATCAAGATATTTTCTTGGTGGTGGACGGTAAATATAGAATGGATCTAATTTGTCTTCTTTTTGGATTTTTATGATATCACAAACTTTTCTGTTTGGTGCATGAAATCGATCCATTAAATCATCTTTTAGGAGCTTATCACGCGTTGACGATTTTCGTACGTGTGCCATTTTTAAAAAGTTACTTTTGAGAATTTAATGGATGTGATGAAATTGCGATGAGAGTAAAAATGTCAAAAAAAATGTTATGATTGATTTTTTTTAACCTACTCGATTTAAACTTAATAAAATTAAAAATTAACTTACTCGCTTGATGTGCTATCTTTTTGCTGATGCGCAGTTGTATTTTATGCTCATATCTGTAGACAGCTTGTAATTTCTCAATTTTAGCTTTCAGTATTTCATCCATAAACACCCAAACTGGTCCTCGCCCGTGTTGAGGATGTTTTCGTTTCTTTTTTACTGGAAACACATAATCAGGCGGAAATCGTTCGTATTCAGCTCTTATAAAAGAATAATGTATTTTATAAGGTCCACAATCCATTTTGGCTTCGGTTTGAGAGATGTTGTAATCTAAATATTCTCTGCTTGTTTTCGGTCGATACGGATAGAATGGGTCGACTATTTCTTCTTTTCTTGTGGGGATTATAGTGCAAATTTTTCTATCCGGTGGATAAAATCTGTCCATAAAATCATCTTTCGGTGTTTTGCCATCATCTTTTTTCCCCTTTTTTCCCGTCTTTCCGGTACACGTACTTTTACTAGTTATCGACATGATTTTACAGAAATCTTTGCAATGTACAAAGAATTTTTGAATAAATTTCAATATTATTTAATATAAAATTTAGTGGCGTTTCATGTGCCAAACGGCCAAGCTGAAAACTAATTGGATAACTTGATTATTATGATAATACAGTAAAACCTCGATATAGCGGATTAATACGGCGTAGGAAGTTATATGAAAGATTTTTTTGGAGAGTTACTTTAGGGGGAAGGCTCTGGAGGTGAATGTAGGAAAGACAAAGGTTATGAAGTTCTGTAAAGGGGGTAGAAGGAAGAGCGAAGATTGGAGGTGGGAAGGGAAGGAGATAGAGGAGGTGAGGGAGTACACATATTTGGGGTACAGATTTAGAGAGGACAACAAGGAAGGCGCGCATGTGAGGGCAATGGCCAAGAAGGCGAATAAGGTGATGGGGCAGGTCTGGGGGTGGGGAGAGAGATTATTTGGAAGGGATATAGGAAAAAGGAAGATGATATTCGAGTGCTTGATTAGAAGTGTTATGATGTACGGGGCGGAGCTTTGGGGGTGGAAAGAGCAAGGGCTGTTGGAAGGCGTACAGGCTAGGTATTGGAGATGGGTTTTGGGGTTGGCAAAAGAGACGCCGGAGTACATAGTCAGAGAAGAGGTGAAGGTTGATAAGTTAAGAGTGGAGGCGGGTAAAAGGGCGGTACGTTTTGAGGAGAGGGTTGAAGGGAGGTCTCAATGTAAAATTTTGGGGGAGTGCTGGAAAGAGATTAAGGCAGGGAAAGGGGGTTACGGGCAACGAGGAAGGGAGGAATATTTCAGAAGGGTGGGGTACTCAGTGAAAGCGGTAGATGATAGAAGGAGGGAAGGGATTGAGATGTGGAAAGAGCTGGAGAGCAGGGATAGAGATGTACAGAGGCAAGAAAGAAGGGGGCAGATAAGGGAGAGCAGGTACAACCCTAAGTACGAGGAAATAATAACGGAGGGATTGCCGAAGTACCTGTCGGTGGAGGGGGATGAGGAGGGGAAGAGGATGGTGGCAAGATTCAGATGCGGCAATGAGGAGAGAGCGAATAGGTATTGGATGAGAGATGATGAGAGGGGTTGTAGGCTATGTGGGGGGGAGTGGGAGTCGTTGGAGCACCTACTGAGGGAGTGTGACGAGCTAAGAGAGGAGGTGATCGGCTGGAAGCAGGTGCTGGGGGAGAGGGCAGAGGGAAGAGAATGGATGAGGGAGGTGGTGGCGACAAGGCAGCGTAGGGAGATGCGGGGAGGAGATGGGGAGGGGTGGGATAGGAAATAAAATGTATTGTATTGTAATGTGATATATGTAATTGTAGTATTGTTAAAATTTAATTGTTTGTGGAATGAATGCTGATTTTGTAGCAATAAACTTAATTTGCACTTTAAACTATTTCAATGAATAATTTTAATGCATCTAAGAGGACTGCTACATCCCGGGAACGAGTCGTGAAACCTGGGAGCGTCCTTAGATCCCCTTTGCTGAGGCACAAAACCTCTTTGGTTTTGTTTTGCGACGGAGGTTATCATGCTCTTCGCTTGTCTGTGATCCGGAAATTCTTTCCAGCGTAAGGCTACCTTTGAGGCCTTCCAACTGTTACTTGATTACTTATTTTATGTGGTTTTTTATAGTCCACAACCGGTGTGGTGAGGCCGTCTTTGAACGGTCTCGACCTTTGGTAATACCGCTGCCACCAGAAACAGTATTTCGCGCTTCCTAATTCTTAGTCTGAAGGACCCCTAATTGATCCTAGCGAATCAATCAAAACTAAATGACAAGCGCGCGGTCACTATTTCAGAACCGTGGGTTCTTGCACTAAGGCTCTGTCAGGAAAAGGGGAAAATCAAAAGACAAGTGTTCTAACCACACTTAAACTATATTAACAAAATAACAAGTAAAAATAGACAATGAACAAAAAATGAACCTTATAATCTACCTACGATTATCTATGACCCGACGTTACTTAAAAAGAGATATTTCCGAATCTAACCTCGACAGCTAATACTCGTTGACAGATAGGTGATAACGAAAACTGGCAAACAGACTTACTCAGGACTTGTATTCCGATTTGGTGGTACGCCGATGGATCGCAACCCTGGATCCTTTTTGGTGGCTTCTCGGAAGTTAACCGGGAAGGTTCCAACACCACTCTTGCACCAAATCCTCAGTGGAAACACAATTACCGACACGGATGCCCGAAGTACAAAGAATGTTCGCAAATGAAACTAAGTCACAGTTCTCGATATACGACGACACTTAGAATTGGCGTTAAAGCGAATTCTAAGTTGCTATCTAACGGAGCGCTGACGACGTTTCGACTCAAAAACCTCTTGTGATTGTTATTATTATTCTGATTCTGATTGTGATCGTAATTCGTAATCCCCTGAAAAAGGTCTTACAAGCCCTTAAGTAACCTCGGGTATTGGAGGGGTGCAAAAACCTTCTTGAGGCGTTCCTATCGCCTGGATGTTCCCGACACCTGGGCCAATCCAAAATACGGGGCGGATGTTTTACAATAATTTTCTGAGCCAATGAGGAAATTTGGGGAAGGGAACAATTTTTGACCACGGGGCCAGAAGATAACATCCGCCACTAGCTAATCCCAAAAATCATCACGTAAATCCCAAACTGTGGGAGCCATCAAACCTTTACGTTTTCTAACGTCTATTGTATTTTTAACGACTTTTTCGTTATCTACGTTTTCCCATAAATTTGCTTGTACATTAATCTTTCTCAAAATTTATTTCGACGTCTGGTCACCATCCCGGACGTCGGTCGTAAACGCGAGACGTGATTTTTGGTTTTTAGAAGAAAAAGGCTGCACGCCAGGAATATACAATTCGTATGGTTTATTCCCAAAACCATTAAATAATTTCCGAATTATTACACCAGGTTGGAGTCCAATGAAGGGCCTTTTCACCTTTTCACCTGCCTCTTTGACCAGCTTGTCCGCCTGCTCATTGCTCCTATCGATGTCTCTGTGACCTGGAACACACCATAGAGTAACATAATTGCCCCTATCGAGTTCTCTCAGGTTGCTGGTACACTCTCTGATCAGTGCGGAGTCATACGTGTAGGCTTGAATTGCCTTTAGGGCGGCCCGACTGTCTGTAAAAATGTTTATGGATGCACCTTTCCGTCCCTTTTCTAGGTTCAAAGCTTGCAGAAGTTGACAGTAAGTATTTCTGCTTGAAAAATGAGGCTCATCCTTCATCCAATCATCCCTGCTTCTAAATATGACCTTGTACGGCTGGTCGAAATTGTATTCTGTCGGTACTAAGTCCGTTTAATTTCAATCAAGTGATTTAGACATGAGTCCTTGAGGATTTCGAGGTGTCGTCTGAGGTTACCCTGCATCAGCTTGAGTGAAAAAGATGTTTTCAGTGATAACTTGATAAGGCACTTAAAGCTGCCTCCTTTTGTATATTTAAATGAAGTGGTGTGAAACCGAGTAAGTAGTAGGTATTCGCCGATTATGGAACCTCCTCCTGGAACAACCAAGGTTAAGGTCACACCGCGTGCCCTTGACCTTGGTTGGTCCATGTGGAGGTTCCACAATCGGCAAATGTGACCTTGACCTCGACTGCTCGAGGAGAATGTTTCCAAAGAGAAGGTTCCTAAGCCGGCCAAAGTCGTTCCGAGTGACCTTGACCTTGAATGTCCATAGGACTCCGGAATCGGCTAAGGTCATGGCGTGTGACCTCGACCTCATGGCTAAGGTGACGCCGCGTAACCTTGACCTAAAGTATTCAAGGTGTAGCTTCCAGAAATAGGTAAGGTTACGCCGCGTGTCCTCGATCAAAAAAAATAAGTAAAATAAAATAAAATAATAGTATATTATTCAACAAGCGTATAATGGCGGCTGTTACCCACGAAGATGAAGGTACAACACGAGCGAGCGAAGCAAGTGAGTGTTGTAATCTGAGTGGGTAACATCCATTATACGCAAGTTGAATACTATACTTTATCTACAACTATTTAATTTTGAAAAAAAAATCAAAAAAAGGAAAAAAAATAAACTTGATAAACATTTCAGACATAACCTCAATATAAGAAAACTGTCACTTATATTAATATTTTATTTTTTGATTAGTAGGCCGTGTCAGAACTGTGGAATAATGGCTTCATTATTCAACACTTTGTCAGTCATTAGTAATGCGTGTCATTACCCGTCAAAAATCAAATGTATAACGAATAGATAATTCAATAGTTGTAGATAAAATTTATTATACTATTATATGTATAGTTAACTATTAAAATTGTTAATTTTGACCCACCCAACATCTACAACGGTTAAGATAGAAATAATAGAAAATAAGGAGATTAAAGCTTTGCGGATCTCTTCTACGACCTTGACCTTGACTGTTCCAGCATCGAGTGATCTTTTAAATGAAAGTTATTAAAATGAAAAAATCTCAAAATAGGTGATTTGAAGTTATTCAGAAAACGATTTCATAATAAGAACAGTGATTCTAACAAAACATATCAGTTCAACAACAGCAAGATGTTTAATTGTAAAAATTGTGGTAAAAGTTTCAGCCGTTTAGATAATCTTAAAAGACATCGGCGAACTGCTTGTGTAGGTAAACGCATTAAAGTTAATGAAGCACATTATTTAGCCGATACCGGACTCCTATGACATTCAAGGTCAAGGTCACTCGGAACGACCTTAACCGGCTTAGAAACCTTCTCCTGGAACGGTCAAGGTCAAGGTCACGCAATGTGATCTTGACCTTGGTTGCTCCAGGAGGAGGTTCCAGAATCGGCGAATACCTACTACTCGAGTAGGGCTTCAAGTTCGGAGAAGATCTCATTGCACCCATTATATAATTAAGTTTATTGCTACAAAATCAGCATTACATTCCATAAACAATTAAATTTTAACAATACTACAATTACATATATCACATTACAATACAATACATTTTATTTCCTATCCCACCCCTCCCCATCTCCTCCCCGCATCTCCCTACGCTGCCTTGTCGCCACCACCTCCCTCATCCATTCTCTTCCCTCTGCCCTCTCCCCCAGCACCTGCTTCCAGCCGATCACCTCCTCTCTTAGCTCGTCACACTCCCTCAGTAGGTGCTCCAACGACTCCCACTCCCCCCCACATAGCCTACAACCCCTCTCATCATCTCTCATCCAATACCTATTCGCTCTCTCCTCATTGCCGCATCTGAATCTTGCCACCATCCTCTTCCCCTCCTCATCCCCCTCCACCGACAGGTACTTCGGCAATCCCTCCGTTATTATTTCCTCGTACTTAGGGTTGTACCTGCTCTCCCTTATCTGCCCCCTTCTTTCTTGCCTCTGTACATCTCTATCCCTGCTCTCCAGCTCTTTCCACATCTCAATCCCTTCCCTCCTTCTATCATCTACCGCTTTCACTGAGTACCCCACCCTTCTGAAATATTCCTCCCTTCCTCGTTGCCCGTAACCCCCTTTCCCTGCCTTAATCTCTTTCCAGCACTCCCCCAAAATTTTACATTGAGACCTCCCTTCAACCCTCTCCTCAAAACGTACCGCCCTTTTACCCGCCTCCACTCTTAACTTATCAACCTTCACCTCTTCTCTGACTATGTACTCCGGCGTCTCTTTTGCCAACCCCAAAACCCATCTCCAATACCTAGCCTGTACGCCTTCCAACAGCCCTTGCTCTTTCCACCCCCAAAGCTCCGCCCCGTACATCATAACACTTCTAATCAAGCACTCGAATATCATCTTCCTTTTTCCTATATCCCTTCCAAATAATCTCTCTCCCCACCCCCAGACCTGCCCCATCACCTTATTCGCCTTCTTGGCCATTGCCCTCACATGCGCGCCTTCCTTGTTGTCCTCTCTAAATCTGTACCCCAAATATGTGTACTCCCTCACCTCCTCTATCTCCTTCCCTTCCCACCTCCAATCTTCGCTCTTCCTTCTACCCCCTTTACAGAACTTCATAACCTTTGTCTTTCCTACATTCACCTCCAGAGCCTTCCCCCTAAAGTAACTCTCCAAACTCCGCATCATCGCCTTCATCTCCTTCGCCTCTCTCGCCACTACCACCAAATCGTCCGCGTAAGCCAGTGAATGCACCTTCCTCCTCCCTACAACCACACCTCCCATCTGCCCACCGGTCAATCTGTCTTCCATGTCTGCGGTATACAAGGCAAACAGAGCGGGACTAAGTGGACATCCCTGCCTCAAACCCCTCGTTGTCCAGAACCTATCCGTTAACTCGTCCCCCACCTTTACCCTAGCTATCGTCTCTGCGTATATCTCCCTCACCCTGTTTATTGTCCCACCAGTAATCCCTCTCCTCCTCATCTCCTCCCATAACTTCCCTCTATTCACCTTATCAAAAGCTGCCTTTAGATCTATGAATAGGGCGTAAAGCTTCCCTCCCTTCCCTTCCAGCTCTTTATCCACCAAGTGCTTCAATATGTACACGTTATCTATCGCGCCCCTTCCCTTTCTAAATCCTGCCTGTCCGTCCGGTAAGATCCCTTTCTCTTCCATCTCTTCCTCCAACCTCTGCAGCAGCGCCTTCGCATATATCTTGTACGCCGAGTCCATTAAGCTAATTCCCCTATAACTTTCCACTACTCCCTTCACTCCCTTCTTGTACAAGGGGCTTATTATCGCCGTCCTCCATCCAATCGGAAACCCTTCCCCTTCCCAAACTTTGTTCAGCGCTTCCAACAACTTTCCCCTCACTTCTCCCGTTGCCTCCAGCCATGCCTCATTCTGGACACCGTCCTCCCCTGGAGCCTTCCCCCTCTTTAGTCCCCCCAACGCCGCCTCCATTTGTTCCCCGGCCATCTCCTCTCCTCTCCGTCCCCCTGTATCTACTTCCTCTACCCGCCTCTCCTCTTCCCCCTCTTGCACCCATTATATTAAGACATGCTAACCGCTGGATATCTACCAGCTGTTGTTGTGCTGTCTTATGGTTTGTTTTTGGCCTCCAAACCAGTGAGGCATACGCGACCATGGATCTGATTGCTGCTACGTAAGCCTAATGAGCCATTCGTGGTTTAAACCCCAGTTCCGTCCGAAGAGCCTGCGGCAGATTGGTTAGCCATGGCACGTCACGAATGGGTAGGCAACTACTATTTCACACTTGCAATTGGCAAATGCTTAATTTATTCTATTCGTGTCTTATAATGTTGTTAGTTTAGACGTGCATCTCTTAAGATGGCTAAACTCAAATCTTTCTAGGTCTAGTGTTTAGCAAAAAATACTCTTAATTAAAAAAAATAATTAAAAATATAATTTTTGTTAATTTACACAGCACACATTTAAAAATAATATAATAATCAATCGTCCTCTTCGTCATGTCCGTGCATTTCCGCCATCATTTCGGCTAAAGTTTTTTTAGCAGGTTTAGGTTTCGCAGCTTCAACGGCATCAGCAATCGCATATAGACTTACTTCAGGCGGAGGTTCGTACTACAAAATAAAAAGGTTCTAAATAAACGAAATATGTAAGTATACAGCAAAATTCGTATCTTTATAATAAACTTACAACCAATTTATTGATGTAAAATTCGTATGGCACTGTTTGAGTAGAAGGATCAATAGCTACTTCAAGCATTTCGTCTATTTCGTCTTGACTAAATGGCTCACCTTTTTCTGTCATTAATTGAGTAATATACTCTCTAGTTATGTACCCTTTTCCTAATGGGTCCAAAACGTGGAAAGCTTCAAGGAGAGCATCAGGGGAAGGTGGTTCATATCTACAAAGTATTATAGTATTCAATGTTTAAATAATTGTTAAGTGACAAATTGTTACTTATGAGCGGTGATAAAACTAGAAGCAACCGGTATAAATTTATTAACGTGAACCGTACCCCTGTTTTTATGGTCTTCTAAATCTTTAAACACCATCTGTTCTATATCAGATTCTAGTGGGCAAGATCCCAAAGAACGAATTATTGTTCCAATATCCTGTGATTCGACCGTTTTGTTTCCGACGTGGTCAAATAGCTCGAAAGCATCGAAAATTTTCTGTTCCAATTCGTTGTTTAACTTAACTGAAATAAAAAAAATAAAAATAACACAATGATAAGTAAAATGATAGATGTATAAATAAAATACTCTTCGTTTCTTCGTCTTCATCATCCATAATTAATTATTGATATTTACAAAAAAATTTTGTTATAAAAAATTTAAATAGTGCCAAATTAAAATTTTAAGACAATAAAATTTGACAAAAATATATATTTATGACTACTTGGATAAATATTGTGTCTTTACTCCATCTGTAATTATTTATAACTCATTGTCAGTCTATCTAGATGATATATGTTTATAGTCATTCATTTGCTTCGAAGAAGCTCTACAAATATATCTATAAATATTACCATAAATGAAAAAGAAGGAATAACGCGATATCGAATTTCCATGAAATTCTGTAGTCATTGGAGATAGTTCGTCTATTTGTTTTTATTATTTTCAATTTCGTTTTTGATAAATTCCAATAAATGTTCAGTCATTATCAGAGGCGGCGCTACCGGGGGGTGCAAGGGGCGCACTGCACTCGGGCGCTGTTTAAAAGGGGGCGCAGCCCCTTTTTAATGTTTTCTCCAACAATATCTTATCTTTCTTTTGCAGTACTTAGACCTGTCAGCAATATCTAGTCTTCAGAAAGCAGTATTTAGTGTTCCAGACGCTGTATTTAGACCTGTCGGCAGTATCTAGTCTTCAGAAAGCAGTATTTAGTCTTCTAGAAGCAGTATCTAGTCTTCTGCCAAAGTTATGTATGTTTTCTCCAAAATATTTTATCTTTCTTTTGCAGTATTTAGACCTGTCAGCAGTATCTAGTCTTCAGAAAGCAGTATTTAGTCTCCACAAAGCAATTTTAGTCTTTAGAAAGCAGTATTTAGTGTTCCAGACGCTGTATTTAGACCTGTCGGCAGTATCTAGTCTTCAGAAAGCAGTATTTAGTCTTCTAGAAGCAGTATCTAGTCTTCTGCCAAAGTTATGTATGTTTTCTCCAAAATATTTTATCTTTCTTTTGCAGTATTTAGACCTGTCAGCAGTATCTAGTCTTCAGAAAGCAGTATTTAGTCTCCACAAAGCAATTTTAGTCTTTAGAAAGCAGTATTTAGTGTTCCAGACGCTGTATTTAGACCTGTCGGCAGTATCTAGTCTTCAGAAAGCAGTATTTAGTCTTCTAGAAGCAGTATCTAGTCTTCTGCCAAAGTTATGTATGTTTTCTCCAAAATATTTTATCTTTCTTTTGCAGTATTTAGACCTGTCAGCAGTATCTAGTCTTCAGAAAGCAGTATTTAGTCTCCACAAAGCAATTTTAGTCTTTAGAAAGCAGTATTTAGTGTTCCAGACGCTGTATTTAGACCTGTCGGCAGTATCTAGTCTTCAGAAAGCAGTATTTAGTCTTCTAGAAGCAGTATCTAGTCTTCTGCCAACGTTATGTATGTTTTCTCCAACAATATCTTATCTTTCTTTTGCAGTACTTAGACCTGTCAGCAGTATCTAGTCTTCAGAAAGCAGTATTTAGTCTCCACAAAGCAATTTTAGTCTTTAGAAAGCAGTATTTAGTGTTCCAGACGCTGTATTTAGACCTGTCGGCAGTATCTAGTCTTCAGAAAGCAGTATTTAATCTTCCAGAGCAGTATCTAGTCTTCAGAAAGCAGTATTTAGTTTTTTAGAAGTAGTATCTAGTCTTCTGCCAACGTTATGCATGTTTTGTTCTTGATACTGACAGCTACTTCTTTCTGGGTGTCTATCATCATCTTTTGGGATTCTCTTATTATATATACGGATCTTGTACCACCCGGTACCTCATTTCTGCAGCTGTTACTTTGCTTTTCTGCTTATCCTGCATTGGCAACGTTTACGGAATTGGTGATTTCCAGTCCTGTGCAATAACAAGACAAGTGCATTGGTTTCTTATTCATATTCTTCGCATTCTTTTATTGAACACATAAGGATTGCCATGAAAAATCATGTTTGGTTTATAATCAATTTTTTGTTTTCTCTGAACAGTAATTTCAGACTTCATGTGGATTTTGAACAATGTAATTCCTGTTTTTTGCTGAAGTCTAATTGCAATTTCAGACTTTTTCTTGCAAATTAACCTTCTGACCAGAGTATTCCCGACTATTCCTTTAAATTTGGTTTTTCACCAGTATAATTCTTAAATTTTTGCTGAAGTATGGATTATGATTATGATTACCCTGGTGCTTCATTTGGGCATTGGTCATTATATGACTTGGTAAAGATACAAAATCCCTTATAAGAAGATATTCACCCTCAAACCACCAAGGTCGCTTGCGGACGAGGCGGTGGATTTGATATATCAACACAAATTCATCAACTTTAAAAAGTTCTAGCGCCTCCCACGCAAGCGATCTCGGCAATTTGAGACGAAATTATCCCATATATGTCTTAGTAATACAAAGTCTCTTATAAGGATATGGATCACAGTGGGAAATGTGAAGCGGAAATAGGAAAAAATTGTAATTCCTTTCCAAATCTTTTATTCTAAATTTCAATTTAAAATACTATGGCATATACAATTTGTGAATTAAAAATATATCAATCTATAAATAAATATACATATATATATATAATATAATATAAAACATTTTGGAACTAATCAAAAGGCACGACAATTTGAGTTATCTTTCTGAAAAATATTTATAAGATTTATTATTATCGTTCATACGTAATTTCAAGTGTACACTTATAAAATATTGCTTGAGATTCCTTCATCAACTTATCCTGTCAACAAAGATAAACAAATTAATCTTTTTGAACGTTTCTCAATTTAATAGTACTCAAAGCATTAGCCATATTCATTTTGTGATTTTCTATGTCTTTTGCATTGTTTATTTCTTGCGTTTCATTCGACATAGCTTCAAGGGGTTTCCTAATTTTCCTCGGCGACGTTGGATTTTCTCGAGTCGAACGGAAAAGTTCCGTTAAACGATTTTTGATATCCCCGGGAGTTTGAGGAGTTTCATCCACCAATTTTTCCTTTTCACGTTTTTCGTCATTAAGTTCGTCTTCTTGTCCCGCGTTTGATTTCGTTATTTCAGATATAATTTGTGACATTACCGGTTTTAAAGTTTTTAATCCACTTACTTCTTCGTCAACTGGGTAATCAATGGGTTTCGTTAATTTGGGTTGATTTACTTGAGTAGCCGCTTTGACCATAAAAAGTTTTTCCAATTTATCTTTTAATTGTAAATGTTGTTTATCTCCAAATCTAACGTTATCGTTTATTGTTTCATCGTCTGATTCTTCGGTGTCTTTAGAAGGTTTTTCGACGCTTGATCTTTTTGATGGTTGTGTTGGGTAATCTTTTATGGGTGTTGGTGGTGTTGAAGTTTTAACTTTAGGGATGGCGTAAGGGGTGTAATTAGAAAATCCATCTAAAGGAGGTGGAGGTGGAATGTTGTAACTTGGAGATTGAGTTGGGGATATATCAGGGGTGGGAGTTCTCGGTTTATGTGGGATGGAAATTCTTGGTATGTGGGTGATCGATTTTTCAAAAATTTCTAGCGGTGGAGGTGGCGGAATAATAACTTCGAGAGAATCTGTATCAGTTTCTCCGTCACTAAAATTTATACTCAATTGTGGACTATCTAATATTTTTAATTCACTATCAAAATTCACATTAATAGTTAATTTTCCATCATCGTGATGGTCTTCATCTTGAAGATTTTTATCTCGAAAACTTTCATTCTCAGAAATTTCTTCTTGAAGATTTTCCTCTTCATAAGGCGCTGATGGTATTTCAATTACTGGAGTTGTTGGAATACTTTTCACATCTTCTCTATGTACAATTACATCCACATCTTTTGTTATTAACTCTCCAAAAGAAGCCGTCGAGTAATTTCCATAAGATAATCTTCGCAATCCATCATCATCTTGCACAACTTTATCTAACATCGCCAAAGCGTCCTTTACATCCTCATCGACGCTTGCGCTACTTTTCCTTGACATAACTAAGATATTTTCTTGTTTCTTAGGTTCTTTAATTTCTTCGTCCAAATCAATAACAGGAATATTTTCCATGCTTCTAGCTATACCACTATCCTCCGACGGGGGCTTTTCTTCTGATGCCGAATCTTCGTTGACTACATACGCGAGGCTTGTGTGGCCATTTGAATAAGATGTTTGATGTTTTGTAGGTGTTAAACATGATTTTCTTATGCAGAGAAGATAAATTAAGATTCCAATAATCGTCCATACCCCAAATCGAATCCACGTTTTATAATCCAACATTAGCATTAAATAAATATTGATTAAAACGCTCAATGCTGGAATGATTGGAACAAAGGGAACTTTAAAAAATAAAGTTTCTTTTGTTGTTGGTTGGAATGCAAGTAAAAATAACAATATGATCATAATTCCACCAACAACCGAGACAAGAATAATGATATATAATCGCCCTTCTTCTAAGTGAGAATAACCGAAAAACAGTAACAAAGCTATTACAAGAGCTAAAGTTGTGTAGATCAAGATATAAGATAAAGAAATGTTTTGCGATAGACGAGTTGGCTCCTTATTTCTACTCGTATTAAAAACATTTCCAATAAACGAATCATTTTCTTTCTTTAACTTGTCCCCATTAGAATCATCATCATACCCATACGCATCTCTGTACCTAAATAAACATCAAAATTTATGATTTTATTTCTTATAAAAATCCAAATATATACCTTAAAATAAGTACACATGCCGAAACGAGTGTGTAAGCTAATAAAGTCCCAATCGACATCATATGCACTAATTGAGGCAAATCAAAAAGTCCTGCCATAATTCCTAATAACAAAACAATTATTTATTTAAATTTTTTTTTAAATAAAAAAGTACCTGTAATTAATCCAGCAATAAGAGTTCCCACTAAAGGAGTTGAAAACGTAGAATTTACGCTGCCTAAAAACTTAAAAATTAATCCATCCGATGCCAAAGCATAAAGAATGCGAGGTAACGGAAGCATTGATCCAAATAAGCTACAAAATTACAATTAATAAACATATTCCATTAAATAAATAATAAATACCTTGTGAACAATCCACAAATCCCACCTATAGCAACGATCCATTTCGCTTCTTCAAAATCAACTTGCTTAAAAGCATCTGGAATTGGTGCGTTTTTGCATAATTCATAAAATGGAACCATCATAGTTAAAACCGTGGACGTGGAGAAATATGCGAGAAAAATGATAATCTGAGAACCGATTATCGCAAAGGGGAGGGCTCGTTTCGGATTTTTAACTTCTTCCCCGGCCGCGGCGATGTAATCGAATCCAACGAAAGCGTAAAAACATGTAGCGGCTCCTTTTAACATCTCGGTTATTCCAAACGGCAAAAATCCACCGTTCTCTATCGATGATGCGGTAATGTTTTTGGGACGATTCCAATTTTCATTGTCACCTTAGAATATTAAAAAAAAATGTTAAAAATATAAATCGAAATTTAATAAATTATTTGTTACTATGTATAGCTCCAGCGATGATGATGAAAAGTATAACAACTAAATTTAAAGCTGTTATAACGTTGTTTAATTTCGTACTTTCTTTTAATCCGAATGCCAAAGCAACTGTAAATATTAAAAAAATATTAATAACGGTTTTTTTTAAATTATTATTTTGCTTTAGGTCAGACCTGATATGAGAATGGCCAATCCAAAGGCGAGAAAGTCGAAGTACTTTCCCATAATGGAAAAATGAATCGGTGCAATCTCTACAAAAGTGTCTTTAAGAACGTCACCAGCCAGCATGTCTATGTATAAACTTATTCCTCTTGCAATACTAGCAGCGCCTATAATTTAAGAAAAAAGATTAAATTACGTTTTTAAACTTCTTTTATAAATTTCAAAAATTCTGGGAAGATTTATTTCTTAAAGTATCTACTTTTCAATGCATCATACCATTTTCTAATATCTGCTATAGTTCTTGAGATAAACATTATTAAACTTAATCGTAATTTTTAGCAGATTAAATTACAATTTTCTCTCAGAAATTTCAAAAATTCTTAGAATACGTACTTTGCGGAAAATTAATATGGGATTTTCATAGATTACTAATTAATGCATGTACTTTTCAATGCAAAAAACCATTTTTCAATATCTCTTGTAGTTCTTAAGATACAAGTTTTTAACGTTGATCGAAATTTTTAGCAGATTTAGTTACAATTTTCTCTCATAAATTTAAAAAATTCTTAGGAGACGTACTTTGCGGAAAGTTAATATGGGATTTTCATAGATTACTAATTAAAGCATGTACTTTTCAATGCAAAAAACCATTTTTCAATATCTCTTGTAGTTCTTAAAATACCAATGTTTAAACTTGATCGAAATTTTTAGCAGATTAAGTTACAATTTTCTCTAATAAATTTCAAAAATTCTTAGAAGACGTACTTTGCGGAAAATTAAGATGGGATTTTCATAGATTACTAATTAAAGCATGTACTTTTCAATGCAAAAAACCATTTTTCAATATCTCTTGTAATTCTTAAGATACCAATGTTTAAACTTGATCGAAATTTTTAGCAGATTTAGTTACAATTTTCTCTCATAAATTTAAAAAATTCTTAGGAGACGTACTTTGCGGAAAATTAATATGGGATTTTCATAGATTACTAATTAATGCATGTACTTTTCAATGCAAAAAACCATTTTTCAATATCTCTTGTAGTTCTTAAGATACCAATGTTTAAACTTGATCGAAATTTTTAGCAGATTTAGTTACAATTTTCTCTCATAAATTTCAAAAATTCTTAGAAGACGTACTTTGCGGAAAATTAATATGGGATTTTCATAGATTACTAATTAAAGCATGTACTTTTCAATGCAAAAAACCATTTTTCAATATCTCTTGTAATTCTTAAGATACCAATGTTTAAACTTGATCGAAATTTTTAGCAGATTAAGTTACAATTTTCTCATAAATTTCAAATATTCTTAGAAGACCTACTTTGCGGAAAATTAATATGGGATTTTCATAGATTACTAATTAAAGCATGTACTTTTCAATGCAAAAAACCATTTTTCGATATTCCTTGTAGTTCTTAAGATACAAACGTTTAAACTTGATCGAAATTATTAGCAGATTTAGGTACAATTTTCTCTCATAAATTTCAAAAATTCTTAGAAGACCTACTTTGCGGAAAATTAATATGGGATTTTCATAGATTACTAATTAAAGCATGTACTTTTCAATGCAAAAAACCATTTTTCGATATTCCTTGTAGTTCTTAAGATACAAACGTTTAAACTTGATCGAAATTATTAGCAGATTTAGGTACAATTTTCTCTCATAAATTTCAAAAATTCTTAGAAGACCTACTTTGCGGAAAATTAATATGAGATTTTCATAGATTACTAATTAAAGCATGTACTTTTCAATGCAAAAAAACATTTTTCAATATCTCTTGTAATTCTTAAGATACCAATGTTTAAACTTGATCGAAATTTTTAGCAGATTAAGTTACAATTTTCTCTCATAAATTTCAAAAATTCTTAGAAGACGTACTTTGCGGAAAATTAATATGGGATTTTCATAGATTACTAATTAATGCATGTACTTTTCAATGCAAAAAACCATTTTTCAATATCTCTTGTAGTTCTTAAGATACCAATGTTTAAACTTGATCGAAATTTTTAGCAGATTAAGATACAATTTTCTCTCATAAATTTCAAAAATTCCTACTTTATTAGAATTATTATTAGAATACCTACTTTACGGAAAATTAATATGGGATTTTCATAGATTATTATACTCTGTTTTTAAACCAGGAGGAGTATTTTAAATTTGTCACCAAATTGACCTTGCACGTGATTGGTTGAATGCGAGGAAGGTTCACACACAGGCAATTTTGAATTTGAAGGTTAGGTTATTGACAATTCGACAGTTTCGTGTCATTATTGTAAATNTTCATAGATTACTAATTAATGCATGTACTTTTCAATGCAAAAAACCATTTTTCAATATCTCTTGTAATTCTTAAGATACAAGTTTTTAACCTTGATCGAAATTCTTTGCAGATTAAGTTACAATTTTCTCTAATAAATTTCAAAAATTCTTAGAAGACGTACTTTGCGGAAAATTAATATGGGATTTTCATAGATTACTAATTAAAGTATGTACTTTTCAATGCAAAAAACCATTTTTCAATATCTCTTGTAGTTCTTAAGATACAAATTTTTAACCTTGATCGAAATTTTTAGCAGATTTAGTTACAATTTTCTCTCATAAATTTCAAAAATTCTTAGAAGACCTACTTTGCGGAAAATTAATATAAGATTTTCATAGATTACTAATTAAAGCATGTACTTTTCAATGCAAAAAGCCATTTTTCAATATCTCTTGTAGTTCTTAAGATACTAATAACTTGATCGAAATTTTTAGCAGATTAAATTACAATTTTCTCTCATAAATTTAGAAAATTCTTAGAAGACATACTTTGCGGAAAATTAATATGGGATTTTCATAGATTACTAATTAATGCATGTACTTTTCAATGCAAGAAACCATTTTTCAATATCTCTTGTAGTTCCTAAGATACAAACGTTTAAACTTGATCGAAATTTTTAGCAGATTAAGTTACAATTTTCTCTCATAAATTTCAAAAATTCTTAGAAGACCCACTTTGCGGAAAATTAATATGGGATTTTCATAGATTACTAATTAAAGTATGTACTTTTCAATGCAAGAAACCATTTTTCAATATCTCTTGCAGTTCTTAAGATACAAATGTTTAAACTTGATCGAAATTCTTTGCAGATTAAGTTACAATTTTCTCTCATAAATTTAGAAAATTCTTAGAAGACATACTTTGCGGAAAATTAATATGGGATTTTCATAGATTACTAATTAATGCATGTACTTTTCAATGCAAAAAACCATTTTTCAATATCTCTTGTAATTCTTAAGATACCAATGTTTAAACTTGATCGAAATTTTTAGCAGATTTAGTTACAATTTTCTCTCATAAATTTCAAATATTCTTAGAAGACCTACTTTGCGGAAAATTTATATGAGATTTTCATAAATTACTAATTAATGCATGTACTTTTCAATGCAAAAAACCATTTTTCTATATCTCTTGGAGTTCTTAAAATACCAATGTTTAAACTTGATCGGAATTTTTAGCAGATTTAGTTACAATTTTCTCTCATAAATTTCAAAAATTCTTAGAAGACCCACTTTGCGGACAATTAATATGGCATTTTCATATATTACTAATTAAAGCATGTACTTTTCAAAACAACAAATCATTTTTCAATATCTCTTGTAGTTCTTAAAATAAAAGGTTTTAACCTTGATAGAAATTTTTAGCAGATTTAGTTACAATTTTCTCTCATAAATTTCAAAAATTCTTAGAAGACCTACTTTGCGGAAAATTACTATGGGATTTTCATAGATTACTAATTAAAGCATGTACTTTTCAATGCAACAAACCATTTTTCAATATCTCTAGTAGTGCTTAAGATACAAATGTTTAAACTTGATCGAAATTTGTAGCAGATTTGAAATTTAACATGAAATAACGCGCAACACAACAACAAATTGTAATTTCGATCTGATAAAATTCGAATTAATTTAATTGGGAATATTTTCATTATCTTTTTGTTTAATAAAAATGAAATTAATTATCTTCAATGCGATCGTTGTCCCCATAACAGAAGAAGCTACCGTTTTTGTGTTTTGAAATAATTGATTTGCGATTATCTCATGTTCAACATAATCAATTGATTGTAAGTACTCGTGTTTTTTTTTATATTTGATAAATTAAAAGTACTTATTTCTCTAACATCGACGTCAAAAAGGAATATATCGCGGGAGCGCTTCGACGAAAAACGTTACAGAAAAGTTTATTGTAAAATTAAAAATTTTTGTATCGCAAAAAATGGTGAGTATTAAATCAACAAACAAGTAGATTAATAAAGACTCACCTATCACATATTCAAGTATTAAATTCCATCCCACTATAAAAGCTACCAATTCTCCAACTGTTACGTAACTGTAAATGTATGCGGAACCAGCTTTTGGTATCCTCGCACCAAATTCTGCGTAACATAATCCTAAAAAAAGTTTCAATTTGCATAACTAAAATTACTACTCTAATTAATTAATTTTAATTTAATTAAAAATCACCCACATTTTAAAAATTACCCATCAGCTTTATCAGTTTCTATATATTTTTTTCGCTTTTAATACTGTTATTGTTGATTATTATGAATCATATCATTGTCACGTCACTTTGTTGTTAAGAGTCAAAAATAAAAATAAATTTTGACCCATCTGATTAAAACGAAAATCGACTCATCCGAATCAATTATGATAATCTACCTGATACTATGCAATGCTTGAAATAATACCTGAAAGTATAGAAGCTACGGCTGCAATAAGAAAAGAAACAACAACGGCAGGGCCGGCGATTTCTTTGGCTACTTGTCCTGCTATAACATAAACGCCGAATCCGACGGTACTTCCGACACCCAAAGCCGTTAAGTCTAAGGTGGATAACACCCTTTCCAAGACAGTTCGTTCGCTGGCCGCGGCGGCATAATTTTTTCTTCTCGTAAAAATGCTGGCGAGAACCATAACTTTAACTAACTTTAACAAATTTCTAGCATTTTAAAACTTCCTAAACACTTGTCACTTTATCACGGGATCTCTATCGCTAAAGGTAAAATTGGACGAACTGATTGCCACCTCTACCCAGTGTACTACAAATAAAATACCAGACCTGATAAGATATTAAACAATACATAGATAATGCGGCATTATAAATGTAGAGGCTTAATTTTTGGAATATGAATTTACCAAATTAAATTTAATTAAAACCTTAACAATATTTTAGAAGTTAACAATTTATTGCAACAAATTAAATTTTTTGTTACTCATCCAACTTAGATTAAAATCTCGTCATTAATGCAATTCCAGGATGGTCGATAGATTCCACGAAATCATATCAATCAAAAATGTTAATTTTTTAAGCAATATTGATACCATGATAATAAGTAAACGCCATAAATTTGAAATCTTATCTCACATACTCAACTTATGTGTAATGTTGTTATAATTTTAAAGTTTAACTTTCACTTTAAAGTTCTATGTTCAAACGGCTACTTATATTTAGCTATTATACTATCACTAATTTTATTGTTATAAGCTTAATTGCAATTTACTTTGAAGTAGTAATATATATATTTTTTAATATCTCCGGTTATAAAAATAAATTCAACTGCGAACCAATTCAATAGCCTAATCAATTTTAAAAAAGATTAATTGTGACATATTACAACAAATAGATCAGAAATGTTTGCGTAAAGAGGAATTTTTTAAGTTAATATACAATTTTAAGATTAATCTAAAAAATTCTATTTAATAAAGTTTTAGGTTTAATTACCGAAAATTATTATTACTAATTTCTCTTCTTTACAATGAAAGCAATATTAATCTAACATGCAATAAGAATATATGCTTTTTGTGTCTAAACATTGCAAGTTCTTACACAATTTGATATACAACCTGATCTTTCTGATAATGATATTCTAATACTCCCGAAATGACAAACATTTCGTGTTGATCAAGAGATATCAAGGCCTACGCGAAGCAAAGATTTTGAGATAAAATTACGCGATTCTATCTGATGAGTGATTTGCACAGTTGAATCATGTAAATAAAATTCAATCTTAACATTTTGCAGCTAAAAGTTCTTTTCTAATATGTTCCGAATCCTGTGCGTAACCAGTATTCACATTTTCGTAATTTTCTCGATGTTTATGCATCTGAGAGCAAAAGAGAAGATAAGCAATATTGTTAAGAATAAAATTTGCTACAACATTTATTCTAAGCGTTTTTTTCTATTATGTTCCAAATCCCGTGCGCAACCATTATTAAATGTAAAGTCTCGATTTCACCTACATTTTCGTAATTTTCTCGATATTTATGCATCTGAGTGCAAAAGAGAAGATAAGCAATATTGTTAAGAATAAAATTTACCACAATATTTATTCTAAGTGTTTGTTTCTATTATGTTCCAAATCCCGTGCGCAACCATTATTAAATGTAAAGTCACGATTTCACCTACTTTTCACATTTTCGTAATTTTCTCAATATTTATGCATCTGAATAGAAAAGAGAAGATAAGCAATATTGTTAAGAATAAAATTTGCTACACCTTTTATTCTAAATGTTTTTTTCTAAAATGTTCCGAACGAGGGGTAAACCGCTGGGGAAGTAGGTGTACAAAATAGGGGAAATGCGGAGAAATTATGGGGAAGTTCGACGAATTACGGGGAAGTCTGGGGAATTATGGGGAGATGCGAGTAATTACGGGGAAGTACAAGGAATTACGGGGAATTATCGAGGAAGTTTGGGGAAGTACGGGGAATTATTGGGGAAGTACGGGAAATTATTTAGGGAAATTTGGGGATATATTGAAACACGATCGAACACGATTAAACACGATATCTAACGATCGAAGTTACGATGTTCCATAAACAAGCTAGATCTAGTATTAGGTGCGCAGTTTCTGTTTCATAAAGGGTGTGTGAATTGTTACTAGTAGAAGCATCGTTTTCATTCAAAGGTAAGATTGAATGAGTATCATATTAAAATTTAAATTTATATTAACATATCGTGAAGAGTCAATGGTACTAAATTCGCTCGTAAATTCTGTTTTGTATTAGGCGCCAGGATGACGGCAAATCGCTATCGCTGTTTTCAAGAGGCCGAAAATTTTCTACAATTTCAATTAAATGAAAATGTTAAGGAAATTCTTATTATTAGCGGATTTGATAATGAGGTGCTGCATGGTACGATTGACGAAAATGATCTAGAAAAAATAGAAGCATTTATTAGAAATGACTACCATGAATTACTAACTTTGGAAGAAAAAAATTTGTTTTACGGGATTTTTAAAAATAATCCGCAGCAATTTAAATTGCTATCTGGCACGAAAAAACAATAGTTTTAATTTCCAAATTTTATAAATCCAAATACGAGAGAAAAATATCGACTCAGTCTACGCAAACCGACATAATTGAAAACATTTCTGAGCAGACATTACCACACCCCTCAGCACAACCATTAAGTGAGACTGCAGCTACAGATCAGGAAACAGAAAAGTGCGTTATATTAAAAGCTCTTAAGTGCTGGCTTAAAACAAAAGTTAGTCAGGAACAATGGTTAATATTTGAATCAAAATGTAATGGTATAAGCCTAAAAATTCAAAAAGGATTAGATAAACATTTTTCTTGCACTGTGACTTGCTTTTGTGGTCAAAGTTGCAAAATCTTACGACAAGATTTGGATTTTTTTGTATGGCCGAAAACACCAGACATCGCGGTTGTAGATGAAGAGTATGTATTTTACGGTCCCATTAATTTACTTGGTAACGGCATATTTCAAATTAGCAGACATGATGATGTAGAAATAAAGGGATTATACAAAGCTTTCAAACAAAATTATAAAAAGCTTTAAATCTGTTTTGTCAGTATTATTATTTTCTGTTTTTATATAGAAAAACTCAATGTTTTTATTTGCCAAAGAATATATGTTAATTTTTATTGACTTTTATTTGGGTGTTTTACTTAAATACACACGTGGATATGCCGTCCGAAGGGAGAGGAGGTACGAGTATGTAAGAGGAATTACGGGGAAGTACACGGAAGTACGGGGAAATACTAGGAATATAAGTAGGAAGTATAAGGAATTATTTGTCAAAGGGGAAGTAGGTGTACAAAATTTGAACTAGCGGTTTACCCCTCGGTTCCGAATCTCGTCCACAACCATCAATGAAATGTAAAACCACGATTTCCTATACTTTTCACATTTTCGTAATTTTCTCGATATTTATGCATCTGCGTTCAAAGGAGAAGATAAGCAATATTGTTAAGAATAAAATTTGCTACAACATTTATTCTAAGTGTTTTTTTCTATTATGTTTCAAATCCCGTGCGCAACCAATTATTAAATGTAATGTCACGATTTCACCTACATTTTCGTAATTTTCTGATATTTATGCATCTAAATGCAAAAAGGAAGAACAGACTTGCACTACAGTGAAGACGTAAGTTGGCATCAGGCGAAAACTGAAAAGTCTTTTCTGTAATTCGCGACGGTAATGAAAGCTATTACAGTACTCAAACGGGTGCTGTAATGCCACTCTTTACAGCATCCGATGCTGTAATGAGATTTTAGTAACATTTTATGGAATCAGTTCAAGTTGGTGACATTGGGTCATTAATTTTTCTAGTTGTCAATGTGACAATGTTTGTCTATGGATGTTTAAACACGTTCTTAGCATCGAATACAAGGTCCACAATGATGAGGACATTGAACTCTGAGCAATTTCTCTAATTTTGGGAGGTGTACATCAAACATTTTTATCAGGTGAATACGTTTGTGTTTTGACAGTTTCTATTTGTCAATTCAAATTTCTATTTTCAAGTGTTACGGTGTTACCAACTGCTACATACCTATTTCCCTAGATTGTCAAAATTTATTTTATTTTTGAGGAAAAAAAAGGATAAAAACGCGAATTACAAAAAATAGCATAAAAAACACGTTTCATAAGACTTAAAGCACTCATTCATTAAAAAACTCGTGGCTTCGCCACTCGTTTTTCAACTTGAATTCGTGCATTTCAAACGTGTCTTACGAAACTTGTTTTTTAATATACTATTTAACAATCTATTATGCATCTTGTTGAAAATGAGCTGAAATTTCTAAATGGAAAGGGTAGTATAAGTAAAGATGAAATAAATAACTAAATACACATTGTGAATTCTTAGATATAATTTTAAATAATCAATGATTTATACTGGCGTCAATTAATCTTTTCTTTATCAGTACAAAAATTTATGATTTCAATAAATCCACTAAACCATTAATTAATTATGTACTTATCAAAAATTTAATAATTTATCAAAGCTACTTATTAGTAATAACTAGGACAAAGTGTATACTTCTCTATTATATCTATAACAAATGTTATCATTACATTTAATAATATTTAATAACTCTATTATTTTTTATTTATAATTTAAAAAAATAATTTTTAATTCCATCTTACTCCAATAGATGTCACTTTTATTTATTCATTTTCATAATTACCTCTTCTTAAAAAAAAAATATAACAAAAATGCTTACTTTTTACAACAAATAATCTAATTTTAACCGATTATTTTAAATTAATTTCTTCGGGGTCACTTTAAAACAGCTCCAACTTCATTCCAATAAACGTCATTTTGACAGATCCCAAATTGCAGGTTACCTTTCAGAGTAGTCTCAAAAAGTAGATTTTTTAAGAAATGGCTGATCCAAAATACGCCGATTTACCAGGAATTGTAAGTTAATTATACATATTAATAATTGTACTAATTCAATTTAATACAGGCTCATGATGAACCGGACGTTTATGAAACGACCGATCTTCCGGAAGCAGATCAAACCTCTGATTTTTATGAAGAAGAAAGCGATGTCGTTGAGAAAATGAACATTTCCCCAACTGAAGCGTTTAATAAATATAAAGGCAAAATTCTGAACTCCAACAAAGTCGATTTTTCCGATCGGATTTTACGAAATATGAGTACCGGGTATTCTTATGAATTGGTGGGACAAGGAGAAAAAGAAACCATTTTACAAAAGTATCAAAGATTACAATGCGAGATGAGTGAACTCCTTGAAGAAATCAATCAAGTAAAGAATGAAAAAAAAGAAGATTCTTGCATTGTTAATGGAAAACAAATTGAGTTAAATTTAAAAAAATTGAAAGATTTAAAACTTGAACAAAGTCTTGGAGCTGATATAACATCAAGTATTATGGATCCTCAAGGAGATCAAATAAAGTAATTTTGTATTATGAGTTTTAATATTAGTTTAATAATTTGTTTTAAGAAAACTCTTTGCCCAACTCGACCAATTTAAAAATCAACCTTCAATAAAACAAGAACCTGGAGAAATTGGTGATGGAATAACATTTCAACTTCAGTATCGCCCCGAACAAGCTCAATTAATGCAAACAAATCGTTTAGCAGACTTAGAGAGGCGTTTGCACAGATTAGAAACTGTTTTAGGAAGCGATAGTGAGAAATTATCAAGATTATCTACATTAACATCAAAGGGGACCCTTTATGAGACGGCACAACATTTATGTGCAACAGCAAGTATGTTGGATTCTTCTCAATTAGATCATATTGAAGGTAGGTTAACTGCATTGGCACAAAAATTAGATAATATTGCTGAGAAGAAAAAGGAAATTGTTCCTGACCCAGAAGGGGATAAAAAGGTAAAAAGGAAATGGTTAAATAACTAAATTTTAATGAAATAATAATTTTTAGATATTAGAAATTTATGATTTGGTTAAAGATCATGAAAAAATCAGCCAAATTCTTCCTCAAACTGTCGAACGTTTAAAAGCATTAGAAGGAATTCATAAAAAAGGTTAATTTTATAAATTTATATTTGAGTCTTATTAATTTTGATTTTTTAGCTGTTGATTTTAATAAATCTTTGGTTCACGTTGAAAAACTTCAAGCTGAAACCAGCAGCAACATCGAAGATAATAAGAATCTCTTGAAAGGGGTTCAAGAAAGTTTTGCTTTTAACTTAAGCGAGATAAATAAGAATCTTCTTACTTTAGATGGAAGAATAAAGGCAATTAAAAAATAAAGTTATCTACTCAATATCACTTAGCTAAATTATTTATGTCTTAAATCTTAATAAGTTATAAACTAATAAGGATTAAAAAAAGGATGTAATTGCTTTAATTATTAATTTTAAATGCTTTGTAATGAAACTAAAAATATTTGTAATAAAAATTTCTTTTCCAATTTAAAAGTTAATTTTTAAACAGTGTGAAAGAGTTGAAATGTCGATGGGTTTGTTGAACATCCTGGACAACTGTGGAGAATATCGTGAATAAATATGTCGCAATCAAAACAGAACGTTTTGTTACATTTTGGACATAAATAAACCTAAAAAAAGACATAAATTCGAATACTTCAACTACAGTAAAACCATGATATAACAGATTAATATGAGGAAGAAATTTATACATCATAAAGATAACTTTGGAGTTGGATTCTATCTATGCGCGCTAACATTTATATTTAAATATACTGATGTATTAAATAAATAATATTAATAGTATGACTTCAAAATATGTTGTCCTTTATATCCCAAGTCCTAGTCGGTTCATTTTATATCCAATAAAAACATTTAAAAATGTTTATATCCAAAGTAATAGGAATTTTTGGGTTCATAAATAAAATCTGAAGATTTAATTTTAAAAATCGCATTTAATAGAACAGATAGACGAAGGACGTAAATAATAACATAAAGGAACAGCTGACTGACATTAGAAGGGAGATGAATAAATACAAAAGGAAAAATGAGAAACTTAAGGAGAAGATTGTGGAACAGGAGAAACGTATAGATATGTTGGAAAGAGAGGTAAGACGTAAAAATGTAATAAAGAAGAGAGATTTGAAAGTTTCGAAAAGAGAGAGAATAAGGCGATTAACTTGATATTGATATCACAAGTAGAATAGGAACATATAAAGAGAACAACAACAATAGGCTTATATTAGTAAAAAAACGCTAAAGAGTTGAAAAAACGAACATATGGATAGATGAGGACTCTTCTAAGAAAATTCAAAGAGAGAGATATGATTTGATGACTGAACTAAGGGAACTCAGGAGGAAAGGAGTTAAAGCTCATTTATAATACAACAAAATAATTGTAAAGGATGAAGCAAACGACGACGGGAAGATAGTGGATGAAGAAGCTGGCAGGAATAATAAATATAGAGTTTTGGAAAGATCACTGGACGATATGGAAAAAGAAAAAAAGAGACGCCCTATAAATTCAAAAAACTAAGTGTAGAAAGAAGAGGAGACTTTACTCAGGATGAAAATAGCAGGAATATGGATAAACGCAAGGAAAAGCAAAGAGAAAATAGGAAAGTTATAAAGATGGGGACGTAGAATATTACAACTTTAATAGGAAAGTAAAAGGAAATAATAGAGGAGATGGGGAGGTTTGGGATAGAAATAATGAGAATTAGTGAAGCGAAAAAAAAGGGAAGGGGAAGCATACAATTATCAAACAATTATAGACTATACTTTTCAGGAGTCAAAAAAAATACATGGAGCAAGGAGGGATTAGGAATAATTATAACTTATAACAGAGGAACTAAATAAAAGAGTAAATAAGTATGCAACTATTAATAATATAGAAATAGAAAAAGTGATGTATGTATGTACGGATTGGGGAGTGCATGCAAAACCGCACGCCACACTTAAGCCCCATTGGGCCCCTTGTGTATCCTCCCATTACACACTCTGGTCACATCAACCAGCCTAAGGATTTACCAAAGGCTAGCACAGCTCCTAGAGGTGCATTCCTGATGTCATCTGTGGTTGGCCATTCCTCCCCGAAGGTCCTCATTCTGAGGTCGGTCAGAGAGGGGTAATCACACAAAATGTGTTTAACCGTCTCGTCATACTGTTCACAGGCTCGACAGAGAGGGGAGTCAGCAAGCTTCATGTTTTGAAGGTGCTTATTTACTTTACAGTGTCCCGTGAGGAGACCTGTGGCAGTGCGATGGGCGTATTTTTACCGAGCCCTACGAAGAACTGGGCTGTTGAGGCTGAAGGATATTTACGGGTGTACGGTCCCACCCGTTTAAAAAAAGAGATGAAAACCTACACGAAAATAAACATCCATAAACTAAGGCAGGAGAAAAAAAGACAAAAATACTAAGAAAAAACAAACAAGGAATTTCAAAAACTAGAACAAACAGAGAATTTAATACTGGAGGAAAAGTGGAGAATTTTTAAAGAGATAATGCGACATAAAGCTATGGAGGTGTGTGGAATGAGAAAATATAATAATCAGACAAAGAAAACACACTGGTGGAATGAAGAGGCCCGACAGGCAATCAAGAAGAAGAAAGAGTCATGGAAGAAATGCATAAGAACGAATTCGGAAGAGGATAGAGCAAACTATAGAAAGAACAAAGAATATGGTAAGGAAGGCGAAAACATACGGATCGAATAACACAAATTCTGGAATCAAATAAGAAAACTGAAGGGAGATCAAAGGAAACAAATAAAAGCCGTCAAAGATAAAAACAACGAGAAAAAGACAACTACAAAGGAAATTCTGGACATATGGGCGGATTTTTATGTAAAAAAGTTCAAGGNGAAAGAAAAGAGATGAAAACCTACACGAAAATAAACATCCATAAACTAAGGCAGGAGAAAAAAAGACAAAAATACTAAGAAAAAACAAACAAGGAATTTCAAAAACTAGAACAAACAGAGAATTTAATACTGGAGGAAAAGTGGAGAATTTTTAAAGAGATAATGCGACATAAAGCTATGGAGGTGTGTGGAATGAGAAAATATAATAATCAGACAAAGAAAACACACTGGTGGAATGAAGAGGCCCGACAGGCAATCAAGAAGAAGAAAGAGTCATGGAAGAAATGCATAAGAACGAATTCGGAAGAGGATAGAGCAAACTATAGAAAGAACAAAGAATATGGTAAGGAAGGCGAAAACATACGGATCGAATAACACAAATTCTGGAATCAAATAAGAAAACTGAAGGGAGATCAAAGGAAACAAATAAAAGCCGTCAAAGATAAAAACAACGAGAAAAAGACAACTACAAAGGAAATTCTGGACATATGGGCGGATTTTTATGTAAAAAAGTTCAAGGATGAAAAACGGACACAAACAATAGAGGAGGGAAGAGAAGATGTAATAAGGGAAGACGCTACAGACATAGCAACTGAAGAGAGAAATTATTTGGGAATAAAAGGGAAGGAGTGGCTTCTGAGTATATATAAAACCGCATGGGAGTCAGAAACATAAAAAAAGAATACATAAAAACGGAAGATACTCGAACTGGGCAAAATTACAGAGCCATATGCCTATATCATTCTACAAGTTACAAATTATACACAAAGATAATAGAAAAAAGGTTAAGAAGAGTAGTGGAGGGTGAACTAGAAGATGACCAAGCAGCATACAAAGCAAGCAAACAAACATGATTAATAATAACATACAATTCATCCGAAATATCATTGAAAGGAAAATAGAGACGGGCAAAAAAGAATACATAAAAACGGAAGATACTCGAATTGGGAAAATTACAGAGCCATATGCCTATATCATTCTACAAGTTACAAATTATACACAAAGATAATAGAAAAAAGGTTAAGAAGAGTAGTGGCGGGTGAACTAGAAGATGATCAAGCAGCATACAGAGCAAGCAAACAAACGAACGATAATATACAATTAATCCGAAATATCATTGAAAGGAAAATAGAGACGGGCAATGAACTATACCTAATATTCTTGGACCTAAATCAGCTTTTGACACGGTTATAGTAGTATTATATGGAAGTGTCTAGAACTACTACCCACAAAAACTAACAAAAATAATTGAAAACCTATACAAGAATGTCAAGGGCATAGTAGAAATAAAGGGAGAAACATCAAAAACTTTTGAAATGAGCAAGGGAGTAAAACAAGGCGTTAGCCTAAGCCCCTTGTTATTTATAATATTAATGAGCAGAGTAACAAAAAATACAAGAATAAGAACAAATCAATATAAACCAGTAAAAATAGATAATTTACTATATGCTAACGACATAGTACTGATAGCAGAGAATCATAAAAAGGCAAGGAAGTTGGTTGAAATACGGACAGGAGAAATTGAAAAGATGGACCTAGAATTGAACATAAATAAATGTAAAATTGTGATAACAAATAACAAAGAAATAAGAAATAACCCAAAAGAAATATTTATTAAGGAACAAAAGATAGAAGAAGTATCAGCATATGAGTACTTGGGCAGCATAATATTACAAGATAGAAGGATAGATTCAGACATAAATGCAAGTATAAAGAAAACAAACAATGTATATCATACTCTAAACAGAACAATTTTTGGGAAGAAAGAGATAGATAAAAAGATAAAATTGAAAGTGTACAGGGTGGTTCAAATTCGATGTCCGAATAGGCTAACTCGGAAACTATAAGAGTTAGAAAAAAAGTAGCTTACATGTCATGATCTCGTTTTTCGAGAAACTGCTAATGCCGAAAACCTCATAGCGCTATCGTCTTTTGTTTTTCCGCTAGAGGCTAAAATTGAAAATATCGTAAAACCAGCAAGCGCAATTATCTTGGTTATTATTATAGCTGGAGTATTATAACTAAAACATTATATGGACACTTTTTTACAGAGAATTTGATGACGTAGTCAAAAAAATTTTGTCGGTTTTAGATTTTGAGATATTATCACAATTTTCGTTTTTTTAAATGGAAACAACCACTGATTATTCGCTTAATAAATTCGTTATTTTTTTCTGATTACAAAAATATAGGGTTTGACAGGTCTATTTCTTATTGTTTTAGAATAAAACTAAAAATAAACTTTTCTTTTAGTGTCGTCGAAGAAATTAAATTTACAGTTTCCTGTAAATTACGGTTCTATAACTAAAAATTAAAAAAACATATTTCTGATATTTGAAACAAATATATTTGTTGAACTGTTTAATTTATATATGTTTTACACAAAAGTTGGAATAGATTGCATTATTTCACATTTTTTATTACGATTTAATATTATTTTTAAATGACTTAATAAATTATCGATAGATGGCGCTCATATTTTTTTTTTTAATTCAAATAAACATAGCAACATTTGTTTGTATTCAAAAATTTTCTGAAGTGTCACTTTAAAAATCCTGTTTTTAAGATCAATTACGAAAATTTTGAAAAGTTTGACATGTTAGAATGTTACATATTAAAAAATTATTTGTTTTTAAATACCAGAAGTTATCTTCGTATTTAATTGTTAACTTTTTAGATTTTACCTACCGCCCCGTAACTTACAGGAAACTGTAAATTTAATTTCCTCGACGACACTAGATGGAAATTTTATAAAAAAAGTTTATTTTTAGCTTTATTCTAAAACAATAAGAAATAGACCTGTCGAACCCTATATTTTTGTAATCAGAAAAAAATAACGAATTTAATAAGCGAATAATCAGTGGTTGTTTCCATTTAAAAAAACGAAAATTGTGATGATATCTCAAAATCTAAAACCGAAAAAATTTTTTTGACTACGTCATCAAATTCTCTGTAAAAAAGTGTCCATATAATGTCTTAGTTATAATACTCCACCTAGAATAATAACGAAGATAATTGCACTTGCTGGTTTTACGATATTTTCAATTTTGGCCTCTAGGGGAAAAACAAAAGACGATAGCGCTATGAGGTTTTCGGCATTAGCAGTTTCTCGAAAAACGAGATCATGACATGGAAGCTCCTTTTTTTCTAACTCTTATAGTTTCCGAGTTAGCCTATTCGGACATCGAATTTGAACCACCCTGTACAACTCAGTGGCAGTCCCAATATTAACATATGCCAGTGAATCATGGACACTCCAAGATAAACAAGAAGGAAAGATCACAGCAATGGAAATGAAATTTTTATGGAAAATAGTGGGAAAGATAAAGTGGGATAGGATAAGAAAATAAGATTGGGAAGAGGAGATAATCAGCAAAATAGAGAGAAAGCAACTAAACTGGTCCACATAATTAGAATGAAACATAACACAATAGTAAAAAAGAGAGTCTGTTATATCGAGGTTTTACTGTAACTAATTAATCTCACCTGTAAATCTGTATCAGAAAAATTCTTCTGACAAGAAAAACAATTTGCAACCTGATTTGTAAAAGGAACCTCTTTATAATTAGCAGCAGGAAATAAATGGTGATAAGATCTGGCTAAATGAGGTGCAGAAACCAAAGTTAATCCACACGCTCTACACTCAATAGGTAATTCGCAATATTTACTATAACATTGTGGACAATAATATCCCCCGGTTGTTAATTTACTTCCCTCATCATTACAATCGACATGACTAGAAATTTGAAATAAATAAACTAAAAGAAAAATGTAACATATTAATAATTACCACATGCACATCGTTAATGGTTCTTCCGTTCCTTCAACAGACATTTGATGTGGAAATCCCATTTTAATTAAACTTGATTCTAAACACATCGCTGCTGGAGGAGGATCAACTTGTTGAAATAAAAGTTCTTTAAAATGGCAATCATCTAAAATTACATTGTAAACTCCCCCTGTTTGGTTTGCTAATTGTCTACAAATGTGGACCTCAGCAGCTAACCCTATTACTGAACATCGAACTCCTTCAGTTTTCAAAACCTTTTAATAAAAAAATAATTATAAAAAAAACCTATGAATAAACAATTTTTTAAACATACATTAATTGTTGTATTTATATCTGTAGGATCACAAGTGGTTAAACTTCCCATAACAACCAAAATTTCTCGACTCGCATGGCTTGGTAACAATTTTAAAGTTTTTATAGCCAATTCTAACCCATTTTGTAAAGAAGGTTCACCCACCAACGATGTCTTACTCAAGTTTTGTACCACTTTCATATGTTTTCTATAATTCCCAGCTAAATCACTTACTTTCTCCGCTCGTTTATTATGCATGATAATAATTCCCATTTGACTTATAGGATTTTGATCAAAAAATTCTTCAATAAAATTCTCCAGCAACTATAACAACATAAATTTAATTCATTTAAACTATTTCCATTTTATAACTTACTTTTATTGAGCACAGTAACCTAGTTGGTTTTAAATCTTGGCAAGACATTGCATCGGAACAATCTAATATTAAGAATATATGTCTCATCATACCCAACTTGGTATTTACCCGTTTTCCTTGTTGGCGTTTTCTTTTGGCTCTTTGGATAATATCTGAGATTGAGGCTTCAAGAAAACCATCGTCGTCTTCTTTTATAGCTTCCCTATTCAAAATTAGAATTAATTTTTGTTTGTTTTTTAGGTTAGGTTAGTTTTATTTGTTAATTTTTTAATTAATAACTATTAATACCATGTTTTCTCATATCCCGTCTCCCATCTATATTCTTTAGGATCTTCTTCGTCGCCCATCTCGTTTATTTCACTATTTCTTGATATTTTAGAACTTATTTTTCGCTTATATATTTGACGTATCTGTCAAATATGTATACATTGAGGTTATGTTAATGTTAAAAAATGTTTAAATTTAATTTTAATACTGAAGAAGTTTCAAAGGATATTTCAGGTAAGTATAAATTAAAATTGTTTAAATATTTATTTAATTAATTATTTTTTTAGTTCCCACTGAAGAAAAATGGGTTAATTCAAAACAAATATCACCAAACTCTTTGTTAATAAACCAATTTCTTAACCATAAACACATAGAATTTATTACCATTGAGATTAAAGACGTTAGTATTCGTTATATTAAACCAAAAACGATGTTAGAAGTATTAAAAGATGCAAATTTAAAGAGTGAAATTTTACAAGCAGATACAAATCACTCCGATTTAATAACAGGTGTTTACGAGGGTGGATTAAAAGTTTGGGAATGCACTTACGATTTAGCACATTTTATTTGTGATAATCAAATGGATTTTAAAGAAAAAAAAGTTTTAGATTTAGGGTGTGGAATGGGGATTATTGGAATATTGACACTTTTACATGGTGCTAGTGTTGATTTTCAAGATTATGTATTATCTTCAAAGAATTAATCACTGTAATATTATTAAAATTTCTTTTAGAATTCTGATGTAATTAATTACATTACAACATTAAACATGTACCTTAATACTGAATTAAGTAAAGAGATGAGAGAAAAATGTCGATTCTTTTCAGGAGATTGGAGTTATTTTTGCGAAAATTTAAGCAATGATCCTAATAATGTTAAATATGATTGTATTTTTACATCGGAAACGATTTATAATACAGATAATTATGTTAAATTAATTAATGTGTTTAATCGTTGTCTTAAAAATGACGGTGTAATGTATCCTTTTTCTTGAAAATATTTTTTTTTTAATTATATTTAAAAGATCTTAACTAATCAAAAGATATTTGGCGGCAAAATCGTATTATTTCGGTGTTGGTGGAGGTTTAAAACAATTTGAAGATGTTTTAATTAACGATGGTAATTGGGAAATAAAAACTGTTTTTAAGTTAACAGAAGGAGTAACTAGAAGTATTCTGCAAATTAATCGACGATGTTTACAAAATAAATGAATTTTTTGTTGAGTTAATTACTTTATTTTCAATATATGTGGTAAATTTATGGAGACAAAATTTGATAGTTCCAACCATTTTCGCCCTCAAACAACAATTGATTCTTTTCTTCAGGTTTTTCTTCTTTCTTTAGAAATTTTAACCTTTTTTGATAAGTATCCCCGGTATGTTCATAAAATTCTATATTCTTTGGTTCCAATAAATGCCCAGAACTAAAATGAAACGATTTGAAAAGAAAAAATGTAACCTTCGAGCGGGAGCACCCGATTTCATAACATGAGCGGGCGCGTATTACGTTATTTTTAATAAAACTAGTGTTAGTTCTACTTTTCGTTCAATAAAAATATCCCACAATCAAACGCTGAATAACAATTAAAACTAGAATTAATGCTAGACCTAGAACCTAAATGAATCTAAACCCAAATGATTCTAGGTCTTATGTTAGTTCTAGTGATAGTGTTAGTTCTAGTAAACTAGAACTAGAAAATTTCGCGTTTTTGCAAAATTAAAAAATGACATTTGAAAAGTCAAAGAGATAACCTCAAATTTGAAACGTCATATTTGACAGTCAATCCTTTATCTTTTTAAAATATAAAAAGAAACTTTTTGTATTATTAATGTAAAGTATTTCTTGCCTTGTTTGAGAATAATGTTGTGATGTTATGGATATTATAAAGATTACCGAATAAAATTTATTACATCCGACCTTTTTTAAAAAGAAAATTGGAAATTAAAAAATGACATTGAAATGTCAAAGCGGTAACCTCAAAATTGACATAACCTCGAAATCGAAATGTCATACTTGACAGTTAATTACTTTAACTTTTTTAGAATGTAATTTTAAAACATAAAATGAAATTTTTTGTATTATTAATGTAAAGGGTTTCTTGCCCTGTTTGAGGATAAGAAGGAAAAAATCAAGATCCATCATGTGGCTTAAAAATCGATGTTTTTTCTTTAATCATTGTGAAATTACTTTCGATGCATAACGACTCATTATCTGTCGTTAGATAGACTGTGTGTCAATAGACTCTGTGTTAAGACTAGAATTAACACTAGACCGAAAACTAGAAAAATTCGGTTTTAGTCGCACGTCCCTCAAGACGGCTAAACCCGAATGATTCTAGTTCTAGGTTTTGTGTTAGTTCTAGTTTTAGTGCAATAAAAATATGCAACATAGTGATATCTTATGCTAACTAGAGCTACCTAACACTGTCACTAGAACTAACATTAGACAGGTTTAGCCGTCTTTAGAGACGTGCGGCTAAACCAAATGTTTCTAATTCTAGGCCTACTGTTAGTTCTAGTTTTAGTTCAATAAAAGTATTCAACACAGTGATTTCTTATGCTAACTAGCGCTACCTACCACTGTCACTAGAACTAACATTAAACTCAGAACTAGAAGCGTTCAGGTTTACCCGTCTTAAGCCGTTATATATATTGAATATTTCCATAAACTCACGAAAAACCGAAAAGATCGAAATATTGAAAAGATGATAAAAATTTCCTGTATTTTTCAAAAAAGTGCAAACGATCCAAAACCTTCATGTAAGACTCAAAACCCGTTTAAAATACATTTATATCCCTTAATCCCATAATATAAATACGGCCTTATAAATCAGCAATTAATGTGTAAATTGTTTGCCTTTTATAACTTTTTTTGCCATAAAGCAACGTTAATATTTTTTTTTTACATTTCTTTCCTTCATATTGTTCAAAATACATAGTTACATCAATACTTTAGCGTTAAATCGTTTCAAATGCATCATAATATAAGGAGATATATTATAAAAACGAAAATTGTCATCAATTTTAAACGGCGCGCCCGCTCGAAGATTAAATTATTAAATTCTTACAAATAAGGAGGCATCGGGACTTTTCCTTTTTCATATTTCCTCTTGGTTTCATCAATTTGTTCTATTAGGTCTTCTTTGTTTTTAATAGATTTCAAATTACAAAAGCAAAACATGGTTATTTGTTCATCATAAGGGATTTTATTAAAGAAGAATTGTTGTATTTCATGTTTCGGTAGACCGTTAGTGATTCCCTCTATTCGAACCATTCTTTTTGCAGGCCAAATAAACGTTAATGCGGCATATTTATTTTTCTAGAAATATAAAGTTTAATAAATTTGTTATTTTACTTTAAAGAGAAATACCCTAAACTCTGGTCTCTCAAGTAAGTAATATTTAAATCCTGCGTTTGAATAACTTTGACACTGTAAAGGTTGCAGTATAAAAGATCCATCCCTAAAAAATAATTAAATCAGTTTAAGTTACAAAGACGATTTGGATTACTTTAAAATTGCGGTTAAAATCATATCACGAGGGTCACAAAAATTCCGTGACTCAGTGAACCATTGATCGAAAAGTTTAATTGGATCGAGGCATGTTGGCCCACTTTTTGTAATAAACATTCTTATTTTACATTGTATCGTTTTGGTTAGATGTTTTAAGAACATCTCTTTGGGTGGAATTAAAATATGGCTAGAAAGAAAATTGAATTTGAATAAATCATCGGTTAATTAAGAAATTTATACTTATTTCAGATTTTTGTTGGGTAAAGTTTATAATTTTACTTGTTTATTCCATTATATTTGTTGCGAAGCTTTAAGCTTTACTAAAATTTTTATCTTAGCGAAAAAGAATGTTAAATGACTTTTTTTTGACTTGAATTTTTTGACATTTATATACAGCGCGTCCGTAAAGTAGTGGATATAGGCGATAAAATCATAAACGGTTTATGGAAAAATCCCTGAAACGAGATTTAAATTTTTTGCTATAAATGAGTTATGACGTCATCGATATTTTTTTTCAAATAACAATCTGCCATTTTTATTACGGAATATAAAAGATGATTTTTTTTTCTGAATCTAGTACGCTCAATATTAATATTAGTCACACTGTATAAAACAAGCGAGAATAGCCCATTGGACCTACGGAGCAATAATCAAACCTATGATCGCCTATGGCTATCACTGATTTGGTGGCCAAAAATAAATCATAAGACAGTATAACAGCAGCTGGCACAAATCCAGCGGTTAGCATGTTTTAATAAGGCGGGTGCAATGAGATCTTGTCCGACGCACAGTGATTATGATTTTAGCGCGACAAAATTCTGACGGTTAGAAATTTATTGATATAGCGTTGTTATTAAGTTAAGATCATTTAAGGAAACTGATAAAAATGTGCGTTTGTTAATCGTTTTACTCTTTCACGTATTATCAGCTATGTGAAGAGAACATTATAATCATGAAAAATATGCTTCAAGATTTTGATTAATCTGTATACTTTTAAGGCTCTAGAACCGATATTAATAACCATTCAAAGCATTAAGTGTGTGTGCGTGCGTCGGAAAACACAATCAAATCCATCAACCGGAAATGGTACTTTAGCAGAACACATACTTAATATAAAGTAGAAATTCAACTAGAGATAAAGGGACATCATTTTCTAAGTATTTATAATAATGAAAAGCTTTAAGATATTAAATTTGAATTGGTTGTTCTATTTTGACGAAATGGCATGAATGCAAAGGACTATTAACCACACTACCTTTTTTAGTAGTAATTATAAAATAAATAAATTAACGAAAAGTTTAGAAAAACGCAAAATTATTTTCTTCTGCTTCCTCTTCATCGTCATCGTTTTCTTCTTGATCTTCCTCTTCATCATTATTGTCTTCCTCTTGGTTTTTTATTATATTATCTTCTGCTACTTCGCCTTTTTGAATTTTGAGAAGCTGAAGAACCTCGTCCGGCAATGCTTCGCGTTTATGTTTCGGAAGTCCCCGTTTTAATGATATTATAGGATCTGACAAAACAAACATTGTGTTTATCAGATCCTCAGTGGTCACAAGGCGATCCATTTTTCTTGTATGTTTCTCTCGCACCCTCCTGTACACTTTGTTGCACGTTTCTTGTGCTTCTTCTGACATCATTCCTATTATATCAATAAATAATTTAAGCTTTACTTTTTACTATTGTCATTTTTACAGTCTAATGACTCTTTATGTTGTGCAAAAATAAAAAAGTTT